CTATAACAACTTACCTTCGTTAACGGCTAACCTTACCGCCAGAGCCTCGGAGCTCTTCGTAAGAGGATCGTTTTCCGAATATAATAAATAGCTAAATTCTGAATGGTACGGAGAAGTAATCGAATTCCTTATTACCGGAAGAACCAGAGATACCTATAGTCGGCTTAAGATACGATTCCTACTTAATAAAGCTAAGGAATATAGGATCTATAGAACGTAGTTATAGCATTATTATCGTAGAATATAGAATAAATACCTACTATTAAACGAAGTTTTAAACGCCTTTATTAAAGCTTACGACGAAGCCGGTTACTTCTTTAAATCGATTACTTTAAAACGCCTTTCCCGTTCGGTCTTTTAGCTAAGGATAGCTAGAGATATATCTACTTATATAAATAGCTGCCTCCCTTACGCGTATTATAAACTAACTAAACCACTAAGTCCTCCTTTCCCTATAACGGTTTACGCCTCGTTATAGATCCTTTCGTCTAACTTCGTCGGCCCCTTTCTACCATTACATTTAAGGTACCGATATATCCTAGTAATCGTTAATTAGTTTAGTAAATACGGCTAAGTAATACCTACTACTAATACCTTAGTAAATAACGCACTCGCAGGCTTTAACATATGGCTTACTAACTTAGGAATAAGACCCTTAGCCTTTTACCTAGACCCTAGATCCGCCTTTACTTTATAACGGATGTTATAATATCTAGCATTAAAGGGGATACTAGTCGTTAACGCCTCTTTAGGTTCCTACCGATTAGTCGGGTTAGTTAAGGTATTTAATAAGATCCTATAGTAGGTCTTAAAGAAGATAGCAAACCTACTACCTTAAACCTAAGAACCACTAGACTAAGCTAGCTCTATACTTAAAATAATAACTAAAATTAACGCTCGTTACGTTAAGTCCCTAGGCCATTTACCGTTCGAGATATTATATGGGAACCTTCCCGTTAGTACCTTCGAAGCCGAGTATCCGCTATCCTATTTAACTAAACTAAGATTTACTTTAATTAATAGCTCCTTTAAGCTCTCTAGCGAATAGATATACGCCGACCTAATCGTAAGCCATATAGCTCGGATATAACACTATAAGGAAAACGTCTGGAAGCTATCTAAACGGACTAAGAAGAAGAAAGAGGAAGCTCTTAAGGAAATAAAAAGGACTATCGAAAGAAGAGATCTCGTTATACTTTATTAGGATGGAAAACCACCTAAGCTACGCGAGAAATAAACGGAACCCTTTATCGTAGGGATCCTAGTCGGACGATCGGTATATTAGTTACTATTATTAAATGGTAAGCCATTAGGACCCCATTATATCATACGAATTAATTAAAACTATTTAAACCACGGAAGGGTTATTTAAGGTTACTAAGAGACCTTTAGTTACCGTACTAGAGGAGACTAAGAAGGACGAGGAAATAAACTATTACTAAAACCTATTTTTACTATTCGTTACTATAATCTTTTGGAGGCTCTAAGGCTATAACCGGGGGCGGTTACCTTTGCCCCCTCCCACTAGCTAAGTAGGAGCTCTCCTGATTATATAATATACATTATATAAGCAACCCTCGAGAGTCAAAGGGTGTTGTTTAGCAAGGGTATCCTAGATAGGAGGTTTTAGGAATCAAGCACGTTTTACACTCCATCTAGCTCTAATATATCCTATTTAATGTCCGTTTCTGTAACTCGTTTCTAGTAACCGTTCCTATATTCGTCCGGCAGTATCTACCGGGCTTCCCTTGACCCTCGATCCTTCCCCTGTACGTAGTTCTAGGGGCTCTGGCTCTTCCTACTAACCACATATCGGTAAGGGCGATAAGAGGGGTCTCTGGGTAATCCTAACTATTTCCGACTATGACTTATGACTATTTTTTTCTATGCTTTCTTGTTTAATATCCTGTTTAATATCCTATTTAATTCATATATCGCGGTATCGTCTATAGGTTTATCGCGCTAATCGGTAGGTTCCCCGATCAGGTTCGTAGGTATAAGGTATATCGGTATCTTCGTATAGCAATTAAGGGCATCGTAGTACCTTATCGGTTAGGAAGGCAAGGAGAGACCTCCCTAGGTGCCGTAACTAGCTAGAAGAAATAAAACAAGGGCAATCGGAGCTATCGGTAAGCCTCTTGTAATTAAAATAAACTAATCGGTAAAGAACGAATGCCTTTAAGCGCGTACGAGGTTATAAAAAGGGGTAGTAGCGGTGACGGAATTAGATCAACTAAGGGCGAGAAAACTGCCATCTAGGCACTTAAAAAACACGGAAGCAAAACCAGGTAAAAACGGGTATAGCTCCTTCAAAAGAGATAACTAAGAAACGAGGATAAGATAGATCCGCTAATCGGCGAACGAGCTTTCAGGTAAGCTAATCAAAAGCTGATAGGAGGGCATGGTTATTAATGGTCGCCATAGTTATCTACCCCCCTGTTAATCCTGGTACCTAACCTAAAAAGGCTTAATCTAAAAGCCACGAAACGGCTCTGGAGCTACGAAAACAGCTCCTAATTAACTAAAAATCAGGGAATCTCCCGATCGACGAATCCTGAACCTAATGACTGCAAAAACGGGCGTAAAAGGTCGCTCCTAAGACTAATGAGGTTGCGGCTCAGGCTATTAGGTGGTCGCTACTGAATAGGAGTAGCGTAGGTACGCTATAATGGAGGCACGAAACAAGGACTGCCTAACTATCAATAACTAGCCTAGTACCGATTAACTAAGATTATAGCTATAAATAGCTATAATCGGTTAATCGGCTAGCTAAAAACGGCAGCTGGGAAAGGGACTAAAGAAAGGAAGTAACTAGAAAAGGGCAACGAGGATCGCGAGAAAAGGCATGGTAAAAGGAGTAAATAGCTATAGGTCGTAATATCTATAGGACTAAGTCTAACTAATGAAAATATAAGTACGCGACCCATATAATAGACATCGAAAAGGCTACGTGGCCTAAATCCACCGCACTACTACAATATTAACGGCGGCGAGTAACGCTCCGAAACCGTCAGAAAAAGATAAATGATATAGCTTACGTACGAAGCATTACTTTAAATACCTAAAGTAACCGAAAGGTATAATACTTTAATTACGTAAAGAAATTAAAGTAAACTCGTATTAACGTTATAATAAATAAGTAACGTCGAATACGTAGGTTATAAAAGACCAGCGAAGCGTTTCGAGAAAATCCTCGATCTTTAAACTTATTAGAACTTTAAGAAACGGAGGAGCTCCTCTTTAAGGATAAGGGTTATAAACTAGAATATACGCCCGTCTTCAATCTCTACGTTATTTCGAAACATCGTTAAAGAAAGTAACCAAAATAATAAGAAATAACAGAAGAAACGAAGTAGGAGTAGCTACGTACATTATAAACGGATAAGAAGCTTTACTTAAGCTAAGCGTATTGAATAAGAACAGCGTGGACACGCTAATGAAGGCACGAAAACGGCTACCCAACTGCCAACAACTGGCTCAGTGCTAATTAACCAAGATCACAGCTATAAACAGCTGTAATCGGTTGATCGGCTAGCTGAAAACGGTAGCTAGAAAAAGACTAGAATAGGAAAGTAACAAGGATAGTGAACAGGAGCAGCGTGGGCACGCTGTGATGGAGGCACGAACAACTGCCTAACTGCCAACAACTAGCCCAGTGCCGATCAACCTAGATCACAGTTGTAGACAGCTGTAATCGGTTGATCGGCTAGCTAAAAACGGCAGCTGGGAAAAGGACTAGAAGGCAAGGATAGCAAGAAGGCTAGAAAGGCATAACAAGAGGAGTAAATATAACTGTCAGGTTATGATACCTTCAGGTCTAAGTCTAACTAATGAAAATATGAGTGCGAAACCTATATAAATATACATCTAAAAGGCTACGTGGCCTAGATCCACTACACTACTACAATATCAAGTTCTATAGCTCTATCTATTCGTTTCTTCTACCATGCCTTCGATCTCCATCTCTCCTTTCTAGTTTTATCCTTCCCAGCTACCGTTTTCAGCTGGCCGATCAACTGATAACAGCTGTTTACAACTGTAATCTAGTTCAATCGGCACTAAGCCAGTTGTTAGCAGTTGGGCAGTTCTTATACAGGTCTCTATCACAGCGTGCCCACTGCTCCTGTTTGGTACGTCATTAGAAACCTATATAATAACTACCTAACTACTAATAGCTAGCCTAGTATTAGTTTAACTAGATTATAGTTATAAATAGTAGTAATTAATTAATCGGCTAGCTAAAACGGTAGCGAAAAAAAACTAAATAAATGATATAATAATTAAACGCGTAATAAGAAAAGGAATAAATATTATAGATTCTAATATCTATAGGTTTAAGTTTAATTAATGAAAATTCGTAACATATATAAATATACATTTAAAAGACTACGTAGCCTAGTTTCACCGCACTACTATAATAGTTAAAAATGAAACTTTAATTAATATTAAGACTTAATATATAATTATCTTTTTAATATTTATAAAGGTAAAGTTAATTATTATAAGTATAGTTTCTTAAAAGTATACTTTCTTCCTTTTCTCTTTATATAGCTTTAAAATTATTAGTATACAGCTTTTATATAATTAAAAGCCCTTAATCTAAAATATTAATATAGCCTATTATAGCACATTACATAATATATTAAAAGAGTAGATAATATATATTAATATACTATTTGTTTTAAATATAATTAAAATTTCATTTTACTAATATAATATTAAATAACTAATTTATATTAATTTTATAACATTCTTAACTAAGTAAACTTCGTCTAATTTGCATATATTTAAGTTAAGCTTAATTAATAAAAGCTGATCGCCTTTTGAAACAGATTAAATATAAGGGAGAGGAAAAGGGTTGTTGCATGTGCTCGACAGATAATGTCATACCACCGAACTTATAGCTCCAAACAGTGGTTTATCCAACCACTAACTACCTCCCTCGTGGCGGTATAGATTCGTGTGGCAATAGCCCTGTAAACTGGTTCTTCATCACGTTCATGAGCGACACAATCTCCACGCGAATCCCTGCCTCATGCCCGGCCCCCGTCTCTCAGATCCTGTACTACGCCTGGCACCACGATCTCGGGCGTCTCAAGCGGCTCCTCGAGGCCCCGGGTCGTGCCAGCGTCCGGGAACCCACGACGGGCGAGACGCCGCTGCATGCCGCCATCCGCAGCTGTGCGCCAGTGAACCAGAGTGCACTGAAAGGCCGTAATGACGGGACTTCGACAGAAGGCAGCGCCGATGATTCCCGAGTAGCAGACAACGCAACGGCAGTCGTGAATGAGCTGTTTCGGAGCGGGGCAATATGGAACGATGTCGATAGCAACAACGAGACGCCCGGCTGCGTTGCCGCACGTCTCGGGCTCAGGCCTCTATATATGCTATGCGTCGCGGCCGGTGTGCGTGCCGAGTTGTTGTTCAGTCTGCTGGATGGATATGAGGAGCTCGAGTCAAACGGTAGCGAGGAGATGATGGACGGAGAGGAAGAAAAGGGTCAAGCTGGAGTTGGGGATAGCAAAGAACCCCGCGAGGTGGGACGGGAAGGGACGGAGGAGACAAATAGCACACGATACACAAACGACGCAGACGCCGCCATCCAAATAAGTGCGGCGGAGAGTATGGTTGTCGCGGTTGACCCCGGCCGCACATTTAGCCCGCCGCGACACGTTGCCGAGCCTGATGTTAATAGCGAGGACTACCTGCGCTCGAGCCTAACATATAGCGAGGGAAAGCTCGTCGACTCCTCACGAAACGGTGTTATGAGTACGTATTTGTAGATCCGCGACCTCTACGCCCCCCAAGCCCACCCGCTAACCCGCGTCTCTCGACCAGTGTCTTGGGAGACATCTATTATGCGCGCTTCCGTCGATGCGCTACTCCCGGGTCTTCCCTCCGGCCGGCGAATCCTCAATATCGGCTTCGGCATGGGCATTATCGACAGTATGTTCAGCGCGACACTGCCGTCGAAGCATCACATCATCGAGGCGCACCCCTCCGTCCTTGAGCATATCAATAGCAAGCCAGACAGCAAGTTCGGCGGGGAATGGGCGAAGAGCGGTCCCGGCGAGGGGGCGTATCAGATCCTCGCCGGCCGTTGGCAAGATGTGGTACCCAGCCTCTTGGAGCAGGGCGAGATCTACGACGCCATTTACTTCGACACTTTTGGAGAGGACTACGGCCAGCTACGCATGTTCTTCACCGAGTACGTCCCTAGCCTACTGGACGAGAAGGGTGTGTTTGGCTTCTTCAACGGCTTGGGTGCCGATCGGCAGATCTGCTACGATGTGTACACGCAAGTAGTTGGGCTGCATCTCAGCGATGCCGGTATGGATGTCGAGTGGCAGGAATTGGGCGTAGACATGACAGATCTAGAGAAGGAGGGCGAAGGGGAATGGCAGGGCGTCAAGAGACGCTATTGGACCCTGGATAGTGAGTCGATCCATGATTGATCGGACGGCCCCGGCCCGAACACGCAAGCTAACCTACAGCAGCATATAGACTTCCCATGTGTACTTTCATGGGATAGGGTTCCCACCGTGTCTTGCTCTAATCCGACAACTAGCCCTAGCCACCAAGCGCCATTCAGGCACCTAGAGGGCCCCCTCTTCGTACATCCATCTATAGGCGATACCTGCCCGTTACCTTCTGACAGACACGATGTGATCCCGGCTGCGCCTTTAGGCATCTATGCTGCTCATTTGAAATTTTCGGGATGTAGAATGCCAGCAACGTTGCCCCTTTGCACCCTCTTGAGTGTCAGGGCAGCGATTACAGCAGCGCCTACGCCACTTCCATCTTCGGCAGCCAGAACTTCTACAGGGTCTTCCTCCCTCTGATTCTTCTTGGCCGGCCAGTCCAAAATCTCTCGGAGGGCCTGTGCGCCCCTAGCCTTGAAATGAGGATACTTGTTGAAGACAGAGCCATCGGCACCAACATGGCAAGGTTGGAGGTTCTTCTTGAGGCAAATGGCAGCAACGCCACATGCGGATAGGCGAGCCGCGCGCGTCCCGATTAGCTCGGCAGCCCGGCGGATGAGTTCGAGCTCGGAGCGAGTGCAGGTCAAGTGTAACTTTTCGTGGAATAGGTCTGCGGTCTCCTGCAGGTTCTCGAAAGGGTCACTGGATGCGGTTAGCGCAATAGAGCAATGAGTCATTCACAGTTCTTCGATAACCTACTCCTCGATAGCCGAGAGGAAAGATGAATCGAGAGTATATGGCTTCCTGAGATACTTGATGTCTTGGCCCTCGAATATGTGGACGTCCTTATTGTCGTGCAAGTCAACCAGTATCAAACGGAAGATTTCGCCGAGATACAAGCCGGCGATACACTTCTCGAAGGCTTGCTGACCCGGTCGGGGTGATTCCTTGTCAATAATAATATCGTACGGCGTTCGAGGGAGAACTTTGTGCTCGTTGTCGAAGGCGCCCCACTCGCAGTTAATGGCCATCGGCAAATCAGGATCCAAGTTCATATGGGCTAGCTTAGGGATAGAGCCGCAGTTCTCCATGTATGCGGCGTTGCAGCCCGTTCCAAAGATACAGCCAACCGCCATCTTGGGATCGGTGTAGGCGGAAGCGATGAGAGTTCCAGTGGTGTCATTGATAAGGGCCGAGACCTTGATAGGAACCCCCTGGCTTCTTGTCAATATTGCACACATGCATTCTCTCTCATCCCTCCGTAGGGCTTTACCTGCTGATCCAAGGCGGCCTCTAACAGCGGCACGACATTCCTCCCCTCGACGCCATTGATGTCAAAACCCTTGGTCCATCGCTGTAGAACACCCTCATCGATATAGTTTTGGGTAGCTGGGTAGGAGAATGTAAAACCAAGGGGAATCTTCCCTTCGGCGGAGGGGATGTCCCCGTGGTGTGTTTCGATGAATTGCTTCAAGCAATCCGCTATATACTCCCAAAGCTCCTCGGACTCGCCGGTCTTCAATTCTTCAGGCATGCGGTACTTGGACTGGATGATGTCGAACTCTGACTTGTTGTCTGTCAGGGTAATCTCGCAAACACGGAGATTTGTACCACCCATATCAAGCGCTAGGTAAGTGCCTGTTTCGTATCCATCCGGGAAGTCCATAACCCAAGTCGGGTTCATGGGCTATATCATTTATAAGTTAGCTGGTGGCTGCATTGGTCTCTTGTCGAGGAAGCTTACAATGCTGCCGCCCTCCACACTCAAGCCTGCCTACGTTGTTAGTAGCTCTAATAATACCGGAAAGAAAGGCAGGTACTACTAGCCCTTTTCAAGCTCGGACACGAAATGCTTGGTGATACTCTTAAGTTTGGCAGTATCCACGGTAAACAGTTTCTCCAACTTCTCAATCTCGGCAAGGAGGTCCTTCGGTACATCGGCCATCGATCCTATGCCTTCTATGTTAGTAGGTGCGAATATTAGGCTGATAGTATTGGTTAAGAATCGGCACCATTATGTGATTCGCACAGACAACGCTGATGGTATGTAAGCGGGCATGTTGCCTGAGAGGCTGGTTGATGCCTGGGAGCCATGGCGATTGTCTGACGGGCAGGAAGCATAGGGAAAAGGGTGTGAGTGAGAAGGTTGACATGTGTCAAAACAAACTGAGGTCGGTTACCATAGGCAAGTGAGTAAGGTAGAGGTGAAGCAAGAGGACCGGCAAGGGCGTGTGAACTGCCAGGGGCTGTATTATACTTGGACTGGCACACGTAGAGGGCGGTTGCTGTGAGAGCAGGGCAACCAGCCATAACTCCGCAGCCTTTATAATCCCAACATACGCGCTCTAGACACCGTCACAAGGCGTCCATATATGCTCACGATGAGCCGGCAGACCTTTGGGTGATGGAAGGATAATTTGGAGTGTGTATTGCCCGGGTGCCTCTATAAGGAGCAAGCTGGCTTCTTCTGAAGACTCGCTTGCCGTTTGCTTGAGTCTAGCTGCCACGTAGCTTGGGTCTCATGGAAACTTCACACACAGTATAGCGACACTCGGGATAAGAAGTTGTAAGGACCAGCAGACAAGGTAAGGGAAATGACAGGGATGTCTCGGCAGGGAGCCTCTTCTGCAGTTAAGCTCAAGCATCTCAAGTGCTTAAACAGAGCTCCTGCCTGACATCGGCATGTATATGGCTGCTAAGCGGCCCTCGTAGGCCCAGAAACAGACGGGGAGCGGCATGGAAGCAAGACAAGGGCGAGGGGAGAGACAGAATTTGGCAGAATCACGTACCTTTCCGGGATGGAGGCTTCCTGGGACCAAGGCCAACCATTTTGTAGGTAGTGACTAGGTGATAAAAAACTAGGAGAATCTGGATCTGAGCGTAAGGAGGGCCCTAGTGGTAAGGGGCGAGGAACGTGAGTAGTTCAGGCTGAGGTGTTAGTCTGACCAGAATGGTGATCGGGATCGAGGGAGGGAGTTGGAAGCGCAGAGTGGCCGGGAGGCATGCGAGCTATTAAATGGCGTAGCCTCGAAGGCTGGTCTTGGGAAAAGGAGCAAATCAGAGATGCCATAAGCATCTTGAGATAAAACCTGAGGACTTACTCAGCGTAGGCAGGTCTTATAAAGGCATCAATGGCAGCAGATAAGCGCGCGTGTTAGGCAGACGTAGGCTCTGGTACAAGAGAGAGGCGCGTTGGAAGTCGAGGATAGGTGCAAAAGTCTGCAAGGCGTCGTAGTTGTAGGTACCTAACCTTTTTTTTATGTACCTACATTTGACGAGGAGGAGGGCCATGTCATTCAATGTAGAGTACGAGAAACCTGATGTATCGTGGGATAGCAAAGTACATCGCGCATACATATTACTTACATATATCGATCCGTTAAGTACAGGTATCTAGGTGGGGAAGTGCATGCTTAAGGTACTTGATGGAGAATATACCTACCTCCCTAATATGAGGGAGGGCAGTCTGGAAAGCGATGAGGGGTATTGGAGGTTGACGATAAGCGCCCCTCTATCCCTCGACCCTGATCTACTTACTCCCCGCTCTCCGCTGTCATAGTTCTAAAAACCAACACTATAGTTAGTTTAGTATTAATTTAAGCAACTCGTATTGTATATAGAAAGAAATACTTTTATTATATAGCGCTATAAGCTAGTTATATATATAAAATACGTTTAAGTATTCTGCGCTTCTTTACGTTTTTATACTACAAACTTAAAACCTCTTTAAAGGCTAAGGAAAAAAAGGTAAGTAGGAATCAACGCTTGGTTAAATTACGAAAAGGGATTAATTACTAATCGACTCTTTGTTAAACGAGGAGAAACTAACCTTGATTAAATTAAATAGAATTAGATAGGAAATATGATTAAACGCGTTAATAGATAAATAGTAATATATAGATCTCGTCGCGTATACTGTAGTTTTATTAAATGTTATTACGGTTTTAAGAGCTATTCGTTAGGTAAAAGCTATATATTAACGATTTAAAGCTAAACGAAGAGAAAAGAAGAAAAAGTACGCCTTATAAGCTGTATTTATAATAACTTACCTTATCTTCCGTAGGTACTAAGCTAATTACATATCAGGCTTTAATGTTAATTAAGGCCTTATAATAAGTATAACTTATAATATAAAGTCCCTTCCTAGAAAAAAAAAGTACGCCTTACCTTCCCTTTCTTCAGCGTTTAGCTTTAATAACTTAACCTGGTTTTTTATGCCTTAAAATACGTACCTTATTTTTAAATACTACTTCCGTTTCTCGGGATACGTTATTTGCTTTTCGGGTTACTGTCTCCGCTTCTTAAGGTATTAATGCTCCTTTAAGGTTTCTTTTTCTTTTTTTCATTTTCTGAGGTATTAATATCCCCTGGGTAAGGCTTTCTTCTCCTCTCCAAGAGTTATATTATACTCCGGGATCTCCTCTTTCTATTTTCTTATCCGGGGGTTATTTCGTATCTCCGGATATTATTTCCGCTTTCCGAAGTATTACTATTCCCCGGGGTTATTCTCCTCTTTCCTAGGGATTACACTATATCCCGAGGTTTTCTCCTTCTTTTCCGTTCCCTTTCTGAAGGCCTTAATTTACTGGGATACGCCTTTTCCGTTATCTTACTTTTACTAGGAAGCCCTCCTCCTATCCTCTTCCTAAGATACCACCAGCGCTCCGGATATTATTTAACTTTCCGGTATATTATTTTCTTAAAACCGCTCTCCGTATTCGTTTACTCGGAAATTATTCTATACCCCCGAATATTCCGTTCGTTTCATAGGTTACGTTTCTGTTTTTTAAATTATTATTTTCGTTTCCCGAGATATTATCACTTTTCGGAACTTTCTTTTTTTCTTAAAATATTACTACTTCCTAAAGGTTATCGTTCCGATCCTTTTATTAAACCGTAAAACTTTAAAGCCCTGTATACAAAATTGTATATAAACGCTTATTAAATTTAACCTAACTTCCGTAGCTATAGAATTGTCAGTTTATTTACCGCCGTTTAAAGACCTTTATTTATTTTCCGTTAACGAATCTTGTCGGATCCGTCGGAAAACGTATTCAAATACGCCGTTTTTATTTGTTTCAAAATTATCATTTATCCGTATTTATTAACAAAATCCTTCGGGTTTCGTAAAAAACGCACTAGATACGCCTTTCCGTTTATTATTAAAAGATTTAAAGTTTCTCTTACTATTTAAAAGTTGAAGACTTATCTGTATCGTTAACGAAACTACGAAGCTGCGCTAAAAAGCGTATTAAAAATACGCTATTCTTTCTATTATTAACGCTTTTAATACTTTTATCGAAATATTATTATCCTAACTAACTTTATCATTTCGTCGTTATTTTAACGTCGCTTCTTTCTTATATCACGTCTCGGGCGCTTTTAACTTTTTATTAAGCATTATATTTTAACGCTTTACTATCTTTTTAGGAAAAAAACTTTTCTATCTTCTTTAACTACCGATTTCGTTGATTATGAATATTTCTAAACGTTTCTATATCGTATCTTCTTCGAAATTACCGTTTAAATCTACGTTTTCTTAGATATTATCGATCATTTCTTCAGTTATCTTCTATCGGTTTTCTCTCATAGTTACTACTGACGCGTATATCTAAAGGTTAATACCGCTTTTATAACTATTAATTTAACTAGTTATTGTAGTGGTGCGGTGGATCTAGGCCACGTAGCCTTTTCGATATCTATTTATATGGGTCGCGCACTTATATTCTCATCAGTTAGACTTAGACCTATAGCTATCACAGTAGCCATTACGGCCTTATAGCTATTCACTCGTTTCTTGCCATGCCTTTCTAGCCATCCTCCTTGCCCTCCTTTTCTAGTCTCTCCCTTTCCCAGCTGCCGTTTTCAGCTGGCCGATCAACCGATTATAGCTATTTACAGCTGTGATCTTGGTTGATCGGCACTGGGCCAGTTGTTGGCAGTTGGGCAGTCCTTGTTTCGTGCCTCCATCACAGCGTGCCCACGCTGCTCCTGTTCATTATCTTTTTCTTAAGTATTAATATCGTTTTTTCCACTATGAATTCCGTTTGTTAAAATACTTATTTCTATCCGTCCTCTTTCGTAGATACTACCAGCGCATATATCTAAAAATCAATACCGTATTCCTAACTATTCGTTTTATTAACTACTGCTTCTTTAAGTACTATACCGCCGTTCCTATTATTAATTCTGCTCGCTTTGATATTAATTCCGTAAAACGATTAAAATAAAGTTAGTTTAGCTTTTTATTACGAGTTTAAAAGTTATATACTAAATAAAACCCGTATATAAATGATTTAAAGCTAAACGAGGAAAAAATAAGAAAAAGTACGCCTTATAAGCCGTATTTATAATAGCTACCCTTATTTTCCGTAAGTACTAGGCTAATTACGTACTATACCCTAGCGCTAATTAAGGCTTTACAATATGCATAGCCTATAATAGATGCATCTTTTTTACCCAGGCCGTACAAGCTTTTAACTAATTAAAACGCGTATACGAACTTTTAGTTAATAAAAATACAGTTTTCTCTAAATTTATAAAGCTATTTATAGAGCTATTATCACGTAGCTATATAAAGGAGCTACGTGCGAGAGCGCGCGTAGAGAGCTATCTTACGAGCAATAGGAGGAGGAGCGAAAGGAGAGAAAAAGTCATAGATCTATCTAAAAACGAGCTAGAGGAGTGGAAGCAATGGAAGCGTATATATAGAAGCTCCTGTTGCTGAGGTAAGCAATGAAGAGGCGAATCCTCTACGTGAAAACTATTTATAGAGCAATTTACAGTACTATTTTTATAAAAGTATTCACCATTATAATTAATTAGTATAATAGAGGGTTTAATGTATTAAAATATGTTAAAGCACTCTGTGCTTTTTTATGCTTTTATACCGAAAATCTAGAATCTCTCCGAAGGCTAGAGAAAAAGAGTACGTATGAATTAACGTTTAATTAAACTACAAAAGGAAATTAATTTACAATCGATTTTTAATTAAATAAAAAGAAATAAACCTCGATTAATTTGTATATAAATGAAACTAAACTATGAAAAAGAATTAGTAATTAATTTTTAAATAGCGAGAAACTAACTTTGATTAATTTATATATAAATAGAATTAAAATAAGTAGAAAATCGATGCGTTAATAAGTAAATAGTAATATATAAATCCCGCTACATATGCTGCGGTTTTATTAGATATATTCCTTTTAAGCAAGCTATTAAGGAGGAGCAGAGCGTACGCGATACTAGAGACCCGGATAGGTTTACTCGAAAGTGTACTTTATCGAAGACTATAGCTCGTACGATGGTCTAAGATGGATGAAACTAATACCGCTATACTAATCGAAAGATAAGGAATCTAATGTAGTTATCGTATCTTAGCTATATCCCTTAGTCGTAGAGATATAGTAGTCGCTAACCCGAAGGCATAAGAAGTAAGGGGAGAAAAGGGATAAAACGTAAAAGTTACTTATTCGGCTATAGCGGTACGACGAAGTAACTTAAGCGCCTATAACTAAAATAAATATATTAATCGGAGAACGACGAATTTAATGATAAAAATAAATGTTTAATTAAGGTAAAAATAATAAAGATAGTAATCTAACTAAGTAATAAATTAAATAATAAACATAGCATATCCCGTACTTACGGGAGCTATAGTTACTCTATATAGGCATAAGGCCTATCATAACGTATTACGTAATGCATTAAGAGGGCATATCTTACCGTACTACTATACTATACAAACTTTTAACTAATTAAAATACATATATAAACTTTTAGTTAATGAAAATAAAGTTTTCCTTAAATTTATAACCGTATTTACAAAGATATTTATAAAGGTATTTAACCTTGTAATTAATTAGCATGACAGTAAGCTTAACGTATTATAACTATTAAATAGGAGCAGCGTGGGCACGCTAACGGAGGCTCGAAAAAAGAACTACCCAACCGCCAACAACTGGCCCAGTGCCGATCAACCAAGATCACAGCTGTAAACAGCTGTAATCGGTTGATCGGCCAGCTGAAAACGGCAGCTGGGAAAGGGAAGACTAGAAAAAGAAGGTAACGAAGATAGCTAGAAAGGCATGATAAGAAACGAGTGAATAGCTGTAGGTCGTGATGCCTGTGATAGCTACGGGTCTAAGTCTGACTGATGAAAATATGAGTGCGCGACCCGTATAAATACACATCGAAAAGGTTACGTGGCCTAGATCCACTGCACCACTACACTATCTTGCGTATGAGATTAATATATTAACTTTTTGAAAACAATTTACTATAGCATATATATAATACTCTGTTACGTAGTAATTAAACCAGCCTATATAAGCCTACATACCGTAAAGCGTGAATGTAGACGTCTACGTTTTACGTGATAGGTATAAGCCCGGTTAGCGCTCTAAGGTACTAGTAGCTTAGTAGTTCGGTTCCCTTAATTACGCGTATACGGCGTAGTAAGCGTAGCCCCTTACGCGGTAAAGCCCCAGAGCTAGATTAGAACTAGCAGTAAGGTATCGCGCCAAGAGGTAGGGGGTTTAATTCTCCACGAGGGGCCTTAAAAAAGGCGGTCGGACGTTAGTAGTTATTAACCCACCTACTAGAGGTATTTAAAAACTAAGGGGTATATTATGTAGTAATTAAACTAGCCTATATAAGCCTACATACCGCAAAGCGTGAATGTAGGCGTTTACGTTTTACGTGACATACTCTAAAATCTAAAGTTTAACTTATAATAAAGCACTAAATATAAAACTTAAATAAAAATAAAATATAAGCTTAAGCTAATATACTTTATTATTATCCGTATTCGAAGGATAGTTATAATACGTTAAACCTCTTATTATGCTGATCAATTTACAAGGGTAATTCCCTTATAAAAATAATCTTATAAATAACCCTATAAATAACCTTATAAATAACTCTATAAATATAGAGTTATTTAAAGGATACTCTATTTTTATTAGCTAAAAGTTCGTATACGCCGTTTGAATTAATTAAAAGCTCATACGACCTGCTTAAAAGGAATGCATCTAATAAAACCACAGTATACGCGTCTATCTATTTACTTAATAACACGTTTAATTATATTTTCTACTTATTTTAACCCTATTTATATATAAATTAATAAAAGTTAATTTCTCTTCGTTTAATCCAGGTTAGTTTCTCTCTATTTAATTAATCCCTTTTCGTAGTTAAATTAAGCGTCAATTCCTGCTTACTTCTTTTTCCATAGCCTTTAGAGAGGTTTTAAGTTTTCGATACGAAAACCTAGAGAAGCGCAGAGTACTTTGACGTATTTTATTTACTTTATTTCTATGAAGTATATTAATTAAAAATAACTCCTTATTAAGTATAGGTACTTATGTAGGTAACTATACCTAGCATCTGGTAGGCGGGTCCGAAATAAACCAGGCATATCTATGTACTAGCGTACCTGCGTAGCAGCTTCAGCCAGCTGTCCATTGGAAACAAAACACCTTAACTGCTTATCTAAGTCTCTAGGAGCTTGCTCTCTTCTCGCCCTTTCTTTATCTCTTTCTCCATGTAAAGAACTCCTGACCCCCTAACGCCATGAAGTTTACTGCAGTCTCAGCAGCAGCGTGCTTCTTGGTCTCGCAGGCACTTGGCGCAATCAACATATCTCAGCCGTCATTGTCGTCCAAGATCACCCTCCCGGCTACCTTCAAACCGCCGCAGGTCTTCAAGAATGCCAACTTGGTGCATGTCATCTCTCTGGAGAAGAACTTCGCAAAAGAGTCCATCAATGTTCTGATTGAGAATACGTCAACAGAACCGCAGGATGAATACTTCCTCCCTTTTATGCGAGGCCAGGTCAAGAATGTAGGAGGCATTGAGGTTAAGGATAGGAAAGATGCCAGCTTGTTGGGGTTTTCCGTGGAAGCTGTTGAATTCGACAGACAGAGGTATGAAAACATTACCTCCTAGACTTCTCTCCCGCCGCCCTTCTCTTCTGTTGACGTCTTGTATCCTTAGCGATACTCAATACTACCGCATTCGACTACCTACACCATTGCCAGTAAAAGGTCAACAGACGCTAGGAATTTCCTTCTACCTTCTTAATGCTTTTGCGCCATTGCCAACCGCTATTGAGCAGTCTGACAAGCAATACCTTGTCTACCATTTCTCAGCATACTGCCCATCAGTCTATCCCACGTTGAAGCAGAAGACGGAGGTTAAATTTCCATCCTCTGATATCCCGGACTATACTAGGATCGCTGGTAGCGGAGAGACTAAAGAGTTTCCTCAGAAGCAAGGGTCGAAGCTAACCTATGGCCCTTTCCTCGAAGTCCCAGCCGGCGCGGTATCTCCTGTCACAGTACGGTACGAGTTTACGAAACCAGTAACGCACGTGTCAGAGCTAGAGCGGGACGTTGAGGTCAGCCATTGGGGCGGCAATATCGCGTTCGAGGAGCGATATACTCTCCACAATCAAGGCGCGAACCTCTCGTCGCAGTTCAACAGAGTCAAATGGGCGCAGTCCCAGTACTTCAACCCGCAGACGTACGCTCTAAAAGAGATGAAGTTCCCCCTCCGGATTGGAAGTAAGGATGCGTATTTTACAGATGCCATTGGCAATGTATCTACGTCGCGCTTCCGTTCTAATAGGCGAGAGGCCGTTCTTGAACTCAAACCCCGGTATCCCGTTTTTGGCGGTTGGAAGTATCCCTTCACGATCGGATGGAACGCCGACTCGAGGCACTTCTTGAGGAAGCAGTCTGGCGATAGCTATCTGTTGAACGTGCCCTTTATCGAGGGGCCTAAGCAGTCGGAAGGCATCTCGTTTGAGCGTATACAGATTCGTGTTTTCTTGCCAGAGGGCGCCGAGTATGTGCCCCCCTGTGACTTGCGCTACGTCGACGCAGATATATACTAACCGTCACCTTTCAGGAACGTTCGGTTCTACACAAATATTCCCGGGTCCGCCATTACACATTATACGGTTGATCTACAAAAGATATATCTGGACACCATTGGCCGAACAGTCCTAACAATTAAGGCAAAGAACTTGGCAGACGACTTCCGAGACCGCGATTTGGTCGTCTCCTACGACTATTCGATAGCGGCGAGCCTTCGGAAGCCATTGATAGTATTTGCCAGCACGATGGCGGTATTCGTCGGAATGTGGGTTGTCTCAAAAGTGAATGTCAAGTTTTCGACAACATAAAAGACCTTTGACTTCCCCAGGGGAAGGAGGGCGGGAGGCGCGACGCACATCGTGTACAGTACAGGGTTTCCATGGGATCTGAGCGTAGCATAAACAGCCCTAAGGAGGAGGAGGGGGGAAGGTTGCTTAGCTTAAGGCACACAGGTCCAGCATGAAGAATACGACTTTGACGCATTTCCTTCTCATTTGCACTTTAATCAATCCCCTCCCTATGAGGACCCTGGCTTGGCGGCATGCGCTGAGGTGAATGGGGATAACCTCACACCGTTTTCGGTATATCTGAATGGCCGAGTTAGCCTGCGAATAGGCCCGCTACAAGAATCCCCACCGGACTGTTGTACAGGGTCTCAGCAATGCCAATGCAAAATACGCAGCAGCAGACGCGTTGGTTGAGCCTCGGGTCTATGTAGACGCACGCAGGCATCTGTATACCTGCTACAAGTGGTACATGGGGGGGCAGGTTTACTACCCAACCCCAAGGCACCAGGAGGGGAGGGGGTGCCAGCCGACAGACATTGGTATCCGTATGGATAACTATGGGCTTGACGGCTAGACGCAATGTTGCTAGGATCGGCACCTTGTTAACCGCTACCTCGACCCGCCTCTTCCATGCTTGTTACTGTTGCCACCGTGGTGTAGGTTAGGTCATATATGGCTTGCTTATGTTCAGCCCTCGAACTGTCTGGGTAGTAGACTGGCTAACGATATGGCCGGCTTTATAGGTAAGGCTCTTGGGGGGGGGGGGGGGGTTGGACGTCGTGGCTGTGGCTCCTGTTGCAGCTTAAGCAAGGAAGGGAAGAGGGCAAGAAGGGGGAGCTAGGGGGGGGGGGTGACATAACCTACATTTTAGTCCTACCATGACTCGGGCAGATGGGAGATAAATAAAGGCCCAGTCGACCCTCCCCGAGTCTCTCAGCATCCACCACATCGGATGCAAGGCTGCTGCCCCGCTAGGTATTTCTTTGAATTCGCCAGAAAGCGTCGAAAATTGCCCAGCACTTGACTACCTACGTCTATACCTCCACATCCCATACCCTCGGGGGATTGGGTGGTCACTCACCGCGGGTCTTCTCGACAAGTCCAAGTGACGACTACTCGAATACCGGATTCGCCCACGGCTCCTTTCTGACAGCCTGCACCGGAGTGCCGTTTCTGGGAAGGCCTAAATGTGCTTCCGCGCCGAGCCCTCGCGGGCCAAGTACTACTACCACGAAGAGTACGTTCCCGTGAGACCGCATCACGGGCACCACCAGCACCACCACCATCAACATCGCTCGGCGATTCCGAGGGCTAGTTATCATTCGCATCATAGCCCACGTGTGAGCGCCACTAGTTACCGGCACGGGGGCCCAGTTGTGTACGAGAGGGCGAGCCAGACAAGATACCACTAAGATGTCATCCTTCTCCTCCCCGGAAAGCGGTGCCGGGCACTAGAGTGCTCTTGTTCGATCAACAGGCAGACAACTCTCCAGGTTTCCGTGGTCGCCGTTGCTGGCGGCAGGTGTAGCGTCCCTTATCCTGACGACTTGACGTTGTTGGGGGGGGGGGGGATGGCGTCACTATGTACCTAGGGGGTCCGAGACGGATAATATTGGGCACGCTGAATTGCAGGCAAACCCCAAATCAAGCGTGGGTGGATGGGTAGAATACATCTGTTCAAGTTAATGTCAAGACAAATGGATATACCTATACCTATACCTAGGTGTAGCTCCGAAAAATGACATCATAGAAGGCGCGGAAACATGTAGGTATCATGATCTCACTAGTAGCTCTTTACCGACGTCATAGGTAGGCAGCTAGGTAGGTACCTAGGTATAGAATGCGATGACCGCCTCGGACCGTGGGTGACGGGTTCCCCTCGTGCAACACCCAAAACGGAGCATCTCCTCGCAGATGACATGGCGTCGCCCAGCACCCCCTCTCTGTTACAACCAAAGCCGGTTCCTACGGGATTCATCTTTTTCTTTCTCTTTCCCTGCTTGCTTGTTCGACATTCCCCATTACTCGGCCCAGTCTACGTACGCACCCCCAAGCTGCCGCCCTCCAAGGACTGACAAGTTGGATGGCCACAGACATCGAGACAGATAACTAGCTGCCTGGCTCGCATTGGTTCGCCCCTCCACAGATCCCTGCTAGAGCGGGCAGCGGGAATGATACCATCCTGCATACGCACTGCAAGACGATAATTCGCCCCACCGAGAACGGTAACATTGCATCTCGTCTACCTGGGAGGGACCAAATAGTAAGTCGAACGAGTGCCTTGCTGACATCCTCGGAGCATACGATTTCCCTTTCCTTCCCTCCGTCTCGCGTGTGCCCATTTTTGCGTGGGGGAGGGGGGAGACCAACCGTTCCCTCCTTGGAAAGTGGCATTCTGGGAAAGCCTAGGTTCGGAGGCTGGCTGGTTGCCACAATGGGGAAGACGTACGCGAGAGTCAACGAGGAAGCGAGAGGGGAAGAGAAGGAGACGATAGGGAGCAGCTAACTAACCAGTTCGGTAGTTGCTCACCCTATAATCAACCGAAGGCCGACCCTGGTGCAAGGAGCATCACCCTGAACGTACCATGTAGGCCATGAATGATTTCCCACTCCTCGACGGCAATTCGAAAGGCGTATCAGAGCTCGAGAGGATGTCACAGCTGAGCTGCAAGGGCAATACTCGATTCCCAGCCTTGACTTACATGTAAAACGTCCTGCGGGGCTTAGGTTATAACAGCGGGAAAACACAGGCAGCTAACATCTAGGTCTACCCTAGGAACCGTTCGCTCTCCATTCGCTCGAATAAGGGAAATGCCGCGGTAGGGCAGCCGATACCGGCATCTTCGCCTGTACCGCGACGCAACAAGGGATTCTCGTTCGCGTCTTTACGCGGCTCGATTCAGCCTGAGCTGTCGCGGCGGCTGTACCAGCTTATCAAGTCAACCAACAGCCTGGTATCGGCGCATGAGGCGGCGGGACGCGAGCGCGAGGTTGTGGCGAGGCAACTGTCGGAATGGGGCGAGCAGACGCGTGACGACGCCGTCTCCGACATCAGTGACAAGGTGGGTGTCGTGCTGTCTGAGCTCGGCGCCCAAGAGGAAGCTTATGCCCATACGCTCGATGAGGCGCGCGGCCTTCTCAAAACCATTCGCAATACCGAGAGGAGTGTCCAACCCAGCCGCGACGCGAAAAGCAAGATTGCAGACGAGATACAGAGGCTCAAGCTCAGGGATTCTCAGAGCGCGCGCCTTGTCGTTCTGGAGCAGGAGCTAGTCAGGGCGGAGGCGGAGAATTTGGTTGCTGAGGCCCAGCTGACAAATGTTGTATGTACCCCCGAGTTTCCTGGTATGGTGGTCGGTGGGCGAAGCCACTAACTGACGCGTCGTGTGAACGCGCGAGCGTAGACCCGTAATAAGCTGAAAGAAGCCTACGACATGGAATTTGTCGCCGTCATCGAGCGCGCAGAAAAGCAGATCCTCCTCGCCAGACACGGCCGTCGTCTACTCGACCTCTTGGATGACTCGCCTGTGACACCGGGCGACCCGAGGCGCGTTTACCAGAACAGAACGGCCTCGCGGCAGGTACTCAATGACGCGGAGGATGACCTCAAGAGCTGGGAAGTGCATGCTGGCGGCCTCGACTCAGACGGAGACGGCGCTATCGGGATTGTCGCGGCTGGGCACGGTGATAGGGGGCCAGGAGGGGGCGAGGCGTCTATGATGTCCGGTGCCATTCGCTGGCCATCTGCTGATGAGGGCAAACCGGGCTCTCGAGGAGCATCTGACGAGAGCCCCATCCTCAACGGTGCCGAGTAAACACGAGCAGGCATGCCTAAGAACATGCGATACTATAGGCACCATGGCTTGCGCATGCCACGCTGGGAATTCGGCTAAGAGAGAGTTGGGCCGACTCGTACCAAAATAAAAGTTCGTGAGAGAAACATTGAATGGGTTAATGTATCTGCGTTATCGTCTTGTTGGACTGGCCTCGGGCCGCACACTTAAAAGTACAGGAGGAGGGGCCGGCGACGCGAGTTTTTATCTACACTCGCTTAAATGCCGTAACGGGGGAGAGGAGGGTACCTAGGTATAATTAGGTAGCTTTCAGCTGATACTATACCTACCTAAGTAATAAAATTAATTACAGTACCTTATGAAGTTAATAATCTTTATATATATAATTATTTTATTAGCTTTTTAATAATAATAAATTATAAGTAAGTATTTAATTATAAATTAATATTTCATTATAATAAAATTAATTATAAAATGTTTAATAATATAATTATTATATATTAATTTAAAATTAATTATATATTTATTATTATTTTTTGAAATTAATAAATAATATAAATATTTTATATAATTTAATAATATAATAAAAACGTAACAGAGTTGAACTCGTTAGAAACTCTAAATTATATTTATATAAAACGAGGTTTTAATAGATTTAACAAAGTATAAGAAGGTAATTCAGCGCAAGTATATCACTAGTAATACCTACCTAAGTAGTATGTGAATAGGCAAATGTCATTCTACCTACTTACGGCTTTGACACTTTGAAGAAACCGAGAGACTGCGCTTCAACAAGATGAATAGCAATACCGCTTTGCGCAGAACCCAGCTTCGAAAGCCACTTTTGAGCCTATGTAGGGGGTGTAGCCGACCTTTCCCTCCCCAGTCGGCTAGATCGTATACTACCGGGGCCGGCTCTAGGCCGCTGGACATCTACGATGTTGTATGCGTCGGCGGTGGGCCTGCGGGCCTAAGTCTGCTCACCGCGCTCCGTGAGTCTGCCGCCCCGTACCGATGATTCTACACGAACTGAGACGAGGTACGCAGGGTCGAACCCCACCACTGCTGGCTTACGCGTCGCCCTTGTTGAGGCCCAGGACCTAGCCAAGACCCGCGCCTGGCAGATGCCGCACGACCGGTACTCAAACCGGTGCAGCTCGCTAACGCCTAAATCTGTACGCTTCCTCGCCTCGATCGGCGTGTGGGACCACATGCAGCGGGCCAGGGTACAGCCGTACCACGAGATGCAGGTCTGGGATGGCGTCACAGATGCGAGGATCGAGTTCGAGTGGGCATCTAGCACACAGGCGACGGGAAGGGACGGGGATGGAGCGGATGTCGAGGCCATCGCGTATATGGTGGAGAACCTGAACCTGACGTTTGGGTTGATGCGCCAGCTGCACGAGCTAGGTGGCGTGTCGGTAATTGATAAAGCTAAGGTCACGGATATCGTGCTTGGAGAGGAGACCGAAAGTGTGGACCTTCGTGAGTGGCCGATAGTCCGCCTCGATGACGGAAAGCAGCTTGCTGCGCGGCTGCTCGTAGGTGCCGATGGTCCTAACAGTCCCGTGCGGACGTTTGCGGGGATCGAGAGCAGGGGGTGGGACTACGAGCGACATGGCGTCGTAGCGACATTGGAGCTTGAGGGTGCCGGCTGGGGCGGAGACGCGACGAAGGTTGCGTATCAGAGATTTCTGCCAACAGGTCCCGTCGCCATGCTACCCCTACCGGGGAACTACTCGACCCTCGTCTGGTCGACGACGCCCTCGAATGCTGCGGTGCTAAAGAGTCTTTCGGCGCGCGACTTAGTCGCGCTCGTCAACGCAGCTTTCCGGCTCAGGCCCGTAGACCTCGAATTCATGCACACGCTAGGCTCGGGCCAGGAAGAGGAGCTGTCGTGGAGGCTGCAGCACACGACCTTTGACCACCATGTTATACCACAGATGGTGGTGGGTGTTCAGGATGGCACAGTGGCCTCGTTTCCGCTAAAGATGCGGCACGCGGACACATACATTGGCGAGCGGGTGGCGCTCGTAGGCGACGCGGCCCACACGATCCACCCGCTCGCTGGGCAGGGACTGAACCAGGGTCAAGGCGACGTCGAGAGCCTGGCGCGGACGATCGAGTACGCGGTGGCGCACGGCCAAGATATCGGCTCTCGCATGTCCCTTGAGCCGTACAGCGCAGAGCGGTACAGGCCGAACCACGTCCTCCTGGGAGTGTGCGACAAGATGAGCAAGATCTATTCCGTCGGCAGCGGTCCCTTGGTCCCTCTGAGGACGCTGGGGCTCAATGCGATCAACGCCATGGGGCCCGTAAAGCGCTTCATGATGGAACAAGCAGCGGGCAACGGAATTAAACTATTCTAAGCAAATGACCGCCTATACTATGGCAAGCCATGCTTACAAGCTCGCCACTGCGTAGGTAGGTATATTGTGGATGTGGGTGTACGATACATGGCCTCCTCCGCATGTGGCCATTCTCGAGAATTACCCGCCCCCTTGAGAATGCATGCCTGAAGCTAGAGGGGTGGACCAATTTAAGAAGGGGGGTGTTCCTAGTGTCCCCTCCAGTATCTGGGATGGGATATCGATAAGCAATCGATAAAGGGCAGATCTGAGAAAGTCGCTTTTACCAAGTTCCCTCTTTTTTCCCTCCACACCCATTCCTCAGCTCGCATTTGTCCATTCACCTCGCTCGAGACCAACAACCAGCCATACCACGCATCATGGCACCCTCGTCGGGGAGGCGACGACCTGCCAGCGCACAGGATCTCGAAGACCGTAACGTATGTTAGAGCCTAGCCTAGCTTAGCCTCGACTCGGTTAACATTTCTGCCAGATCATAGGCATAAACAAGGAGACGATTACCAATACCGTCTCGGACGATTACCCCGATAACTTTGCAAACGAAGAGCATGCGTGGGACAAGGAGGCGTTTAGTCAGAGCTTCCAGGTCCAGTGGCACGAGAATCGGCAGTTCGAATCTCAATTCTCCCTCATCGGCATTGACGCCTCCATTGCTAACGCCTTCCGCCGCATACTCATCGCCGAGATACCCACCCTCGCCATCGACATTGTCTTCGTGCACAACAATACGTCGGTCATCCAAGACGAGGTTCTCGCCCACAGGCTCGGCCTCATCCCGTTCACCGGTGGGAAGAAGGGCATCCGGGATTTCCTCCGGTTCTGGAGGAAACCGGCCGAAGGCGAGGAGGCGTACGCCACCACCTTCGACACGAACACTATACGCCTCAAGCTCGTCGCTCAGTGCACTCACAAGAAGGATGCACCCGCCGATTCGACGGATCCCAAGGAGCTGTACCACAACGCTTGCGTATACGCCAAGGACATCACGTTCGAGCCGCTTGGCAGGCAGGGCGAATTCTTCTCTGGGGAAGATGCCATCCGGGCCCTGAACCCCGACATTTTAATTGCCAAGATGCGGCCGGGCCAGGAGTTGGACATCGAGATGCACATGCACAAGGGATACGGCTGGGATCACGCCAAGTGGTCGCCTGTAGCCACAGCCAGTTACTGTCTGATGCCCACCATCAAGATTACGAAGCCGATCCTAGGGGAGGACGCGAAGAAATTCGCCAACTGCTTCATGCCGGGTGTCATAGGGCTGGAGCCGGTCACGAGGCAGGAGGCCAGGACCCGCGGCAGTGGCTACGAGGGCCACGAGGGCGAGATGAAGGCAGTGGTGAAGGACCCGATGCGTGACACCGTCAGTCGGGAGGTACTGCGGCACCCCGAATTCGAGGGCAAGGTCAAGCTCGGGCGGAAGAAGGATCACTTCATCTTCTCGATAGAGAGCACAGGCCAGTGGGATAGTGACGAGCTGTTCATGGAGGCGGTAAAGGCACTCAAGAAGAAGTGCCAAGTACTCAAGCCCCAGGTTACAAAGATACAAACATGGCTTGCACTTACTGAGATATGATGGGTTGGTAAGGTACACCTTTTTTTTGTGGCGCCATGGAGGGATAGCGTTTGCGAGGAAAAGTAAACGAGAACGAAAGTAGACCTAGACAGTCCTCACCACTTACACCTCGAGGGGGAGGTACCTGGGGGGCGTATAGAGATGATTTAGGGTGTTTAACTGAAGTCCACACACACGTTAATCATTGACGTACCGAAATCTGCAAGTAGACGCTCCTAAACGCTTCATGGTGACTGGATCACTCGTCTACGTATATAGGTTGAAAGCTTAGTTTGTTGCAAATGGTCCTGGTTACGTCCATCCTAACTGAAAACAAGGAAATACCCGAATCTGAACAGCATAAACGGTGGGTGAGTATAGCGGGAGCAACGGCCATCTAGTTGCGGCTGGGTAGAGAGCTAGCACAAGCGCTAAGGGTCTCCCTCTGTATAGTAGAGGCGGGTAGGGGGAGGGAGGGAGGTGTATCGGTAGGACTTCTCGCGAGCGATGTGATTAGTATGGAGTACATGTAAGCGGGCAATATCCGTCGAGGTATTAAAAGTACAGAAAGCCTCGGTGGTAGCCCCTTTTGTGGGTTCCTCCGAGGATATATGTATCGGGTTGCTTGACAATTATATATATATATATATATATATATATCTTTTCCTCACCTCTTAGGTTTTATGAGGAAGGGATAGAGCGACGGGTACCGATTGAACTTCCTGATAGGCCACCGGTCTAAGCTGACTCGCACCTTGTTGTCAAGCAGTAGCTGGCGAGCCGGTAGATAGATCGCCAAAGCCTCTGGGCATGCGTGTGGTAGTTGGAAGTCGGCGGCGACTACGACATGTACAGAGTACCCTGAATTGCGCGTCAGCAGGTGAAGAGGCTCGTGGATGTGCCAACTAGCCTATTTGTCCTGACTCGGATGGCTGGGTTAATGATAGTGGCATCTACCGAGGCGGCCTGGACGGCTCCCACTCCTACGGTCGTAGGATACCATGAGACCGCGGTGCTTAGGAGCCAACGGCCGCGTCACTCGACTCGGGGATTAAGAGTCGTCGTCGGCACGATTCCCTCCGTCGTTGCTGTGGAGATGATGAGGTATGGGAAGCTGGAACCGTCTGAACGTTACTAATAATAAGACCTCGTGCTGGTGCTTTGGTGTTGGTGAGTGCCCAAGAACGACCCCGTCGCGGTGTCGATGGCAGTCCTCTCCTCATCCGAGCTCTGCTGATCGTCCGCGAAATCGCCAATCCGATCCGGGGGGGCGCGTATTGCCTCTAGAGCTTCCCTGTCAAGTTCTAGGGGTTGGTAGGGCTTGATTGAGTGTATATCTCTACCGGACGGGAGAGTGGACAGTAAGGTCCCGGGTGACGGGACGAGCTGAGTGAGCATCTGTCCCCGGCTGTGAGCCTCAGTTACCTCGCGTCGCCATGTGGAAGCACACTCTGGTTGGGGTGATGGATACTGACCGTATCGTTTACTTTGGTCCATTTTGCATCCAACATCTCGATGACCCTGGTCTCCTCTAACCTGCCCGCATCTGCCCCCCAGTTAGTGCCCCTCTCGACCTTCTTGTCCTCTCTCCTCTCGGACCAGTCTTTCCTTAGTTTGCTAAGGCTAGGACCCCTCTTGGCCTCTCTCGGCTCGACCCCGAGTTCTTGGAGGCCGCACCGCAGCCAGCCGAGAGCGGTCCCGGTCTGACCCGATAGTTCGGCATCGATGCCGAAGAACCGGCAGGCCTTTGCCCGGCTCGTTCTTCTAAAGTCCTCCAGATACCGCAAGAGTCCTTCGTCGAGCCTCGAGGTTCCCCTCCCCTGAGACTGGCACAACGACGACGCTTGCGCTGCATGATCCGCCGCAGCGAGACAGAGCCGAGCGAATAGATGGGCGCGAACCTTGGGTATCTCAGGGGCTCTATACATCCACTCACGGTCATTTTCGTTCCTATCCTGGGCAACGACAGCGGGGTAAGGGTCGTCCTTGAGAACCGCAAGTAGTGTTGCCTCAGCTAGGGCGAGCGAAGACATGGCACGGGCGGTGGCCTTAGAAATGTCCATACAAGGAGGATTGGGGACCAGGCCGTCGGGTCGACGGGCAAGATAGTCATGCACCGAGGCAGCATCGAGTAGATGCTTGGTGGCCGTGGTGATGGCCGTGGTCCGTTCCTGACTGCTGAGGGGCGAGCCCGAAGTGACGTAGAGCGGGTGTAGCGAAGAGCGAGCAAGGAGGGTATGGGTGTAGCCCACAGTGGAAAGGGCGAAGAGAAGCTCATGTTCGAGGGATTGGATCTTGACCCTGGCCATCTCCTTGCCGGGCACAGCATGGTCTGACAGAGTCGGCCTCCACTCAATGGCTGGGGTAGAGGTCGGGGTTACGTTGACCTCCTCGCCAGAAACTAGCCTGTTTCCCAGTCCAGCATCGACGGCAAGGAGGTAGGGAAGGTAGTTATTCACATTGGATAATACCGTAGGGAGGCTGGGCCCTTGCGATGCAGGAGGGAGCCGCTTGTGCTTCTTTAAGGAGTCCCTGGCGACGCCTCGGAGCGTGCTGGCGTATAGGGTCAGCGAGGGATGGGACTCGCAGTCGAAGCTAGAGGAGAAGGCAAAGGAGGATGTGGTGGGCAGGGTGAATGGGAACGGCATGTTATTGTGCGCACTCCAGCATACGAGCACCGACGAGACAACGGCAATGACAGTGGCGAGACGAGAGTCTTAGATTGCTAGGCCTTGGGTAAGTGGGGAGGATGCGAGTTGGCTCAGGGAGGAGCGAGAAAAAGAGACCGAAATGAAAGGATTTGTAGAGGCCGTCGTAGTTGAATACCTAATGAGACGTCATGACATGTTCTATTCGTAGGGGATTGAAGCCGACGTCTCGATGCCCTGCTCTAGTATCGGCAATCCGGATAACTGAATGTTAGCAGGGCTCTAATATAGAGGTACCTAGGTACATATGTTGTACCTTAGGAGATATAGGTACCTAGGTACCTACAGGTACCTCTTAATGTACCCACATGTGTAGGGGAAGCTCCACGTTAACAAACCGGTTGCCAGCGCTGCCACTGGAAGCTCTGCTAGTCACCTATTACCCTCTACATTACCTTTACCTCACCTACCTACTCCATGACTATGGACGCCTGCTCCTTAGCATCCAGCGCTTCTCTCCTTCTCGTCCGACCTGCTTCCCAGCCGCGCGCTCTCTCTCTCTCTCATGAGCCAACTAGCCAATCGACGGAAAAAGCGCCATGGTCTCTGCCTCGCCGTCACCGCACAAGCCGCGGCGCAAGACGAAGAAGACAGATAGCGCTGCCACCCACGCCAGCCCCAAGCCCGAAGTGCTGGTCCGAAGCCCTTCGTTTCCTCTGGCCGCCTTCCTCTGGCCTGCCAGGGGCTCCCTTTCGCAATGGGAGGTTCTGCCGCTCATCCTCATGGTCGTCGGCCTGTTTAGATGGGCTGCCGGCCTTTGGGGATATTCAGGTTCGTCTCGCCTCTGCCGCCGGACCTCGCTCGCGCTCTCTTCTTCTCTCCTCCGAGAGACCATGCCGGGCCAGAAGTTAGCTAACGCGTATGCCCTCCTCGCCCTAGGCTTCCAGAAGCCGCCCATGTTCGGTGATTACGAGGCACAAAGACATTGGATGGAAATCACCACGAGCCTGCCCATATCGCAGTGGTACTTTCACGACCTGCAGTGGTGGGGGCTCGATTACCCCCCCCTGACCGCCTATCACAGCTGGCTGCTCGGCAAGGTCGGGTCTGCCATAGATCCGTCGTGGTTTGCCCTCTACACCTCGCGCGGCCTCGAAGACCCGGCGCTCAAGATATTCATGAGGGCGACCGTTATCGTGTCCGAGTACCTTGTCTACATACCAGCCGCCGTGGTGTTTATCCGCAGGTACAGCAAGCTCTCTGGCGTGGCCCAGTGGAGCGCGTCGGTGGCACTTGTCGCTATACTCATGCAGCCTGCTATTATCCTCATTGATCACGTTCATTTCCAGTATAACACGATGATGCTTGGCTTCGTCTTGGCTAGCATGTCTAGCATGGTGGCAGGACGGTATATGTGGTCGTCCATCTTCTTCGTTGCCGCACTGGGGTTCAAGCAGATGGCGCTGTACTACGCCCCGGCCGTATTCGCCTTTCTCCTCGGCAGTTGCATGTTCCCTCGGATCAATATAGGGCGTCTGATGGGAATTGCCGCGGTCACGCTGGCCTCCTTCGCCGTCCTCGTCCTCCCTATCGTCATAGGCACTCTATACGATGCTAGCCGAGGCGTAGACGCACAGCCTGGCCTCGAAGATCCCCGACCCGCACTACCCCTTTTCGCCTCTCTCTCCGATCGTCTTGACACGGGGGCTCCCTACTACCCAGTTTTTGAGCAGATGGCCCAGATGATCCACCGAATGTTTCCCTTCGCGCGGGGACTGTTTGAGGATAAGGTTGCTAATTTTTGGTGTGCGGCAAACGTCGTCATTAAATTGCGGCGGTATCCGGTTGAACTGCTTCAGCGGGCGTCGCTCTTGTCGACTCTCGCCGTCATCGCTCCACCCTGTCTATTGATCTTCATCCAGCCGCGCAAGGAACTCCTACCGTACGCCTTCAGCGCAACTGCTTGGGGCTTTTTCCTGTTCAGTTACCAGGTTCACGAGAAGAGTGTGCTCCTGCCGCTCCTCCCTATGACGGTACTCCTCGCGGGAAAGCAAGGGCTGGGAAAGGAGATTAGGTCCTGGGTTGGATTTGGTAACGTCGTCGGCGCCTGGACGATGTTCCCGCTGCTCCAAAGGGTCGACCTGCGTGTGCCTTACGCCGTCTTGACGCTCTTGTGGACGTATTTACTAGGTCTACCTCCCGTGTCGACCAGCGCATACTTCCAGGAAGGCCAGAACATCTGGGTCCAATGGATGACCGCCATTGTCCACGGCAGTTTCTACGCCGCCATGGGTGCCTGGCACGTCCTGGATTTTTTCGTCGCTCCGCCCCCGGAAAAACCCGACCTCTGGGTCGTCGCCAACGTCGTCGTCGGCGCGGCTGGGTTTGCGCTCTGCTACGCCTGGTGCCTCTGGGGGTTGGTTCAGGAGAGCGGAATTCTCTCTGGGGGCTTGGTTAAATCAAAAGAAGGCAAGCTTAAAGCGAAGTGACCTTGTGTGTAGGGAAATATAGACCAACCTGCCCACATCGGCGCTTCTGAGTTAATGCGAACATTTATGGACTAACTATTGGAAGCCTCCTTCACGGCACGCACCTATTATCCCATCTGTCTATAATCCAAGTACCGTACGTCGTATCGTACATAGCCGCCTTATGTCCCCCTCGTCATTGACACCTTTTCCGGTGCGAGTAATTTCGATGCCTAGGTGGCCTAGGTATGCGCATCACGTTGCCAAGTAGCCCCTCTTCTGAACTGCTACCCGCCAACCCCGTCCCATTCCTGTCCTCTCAAATACACGCACCCAACCTCCGTCCCTAACCTCCCTCTTCACACAGATACGTCCGCTATGTTACTCTTCCCGGGGTAAGAAATGGACTTGGCCTTGCTATTGGCATCTTTTCAATACAGGCGTCTGGTCGAGGCTATGCGTGACTGCCCCAACATATATCGACCCTATACATTACATGATGCACATATGTCGGGGACCTGTAATTCACTTTTGCCTTGAATTGATCAACTTTCTTCTCTCACTATCTCTTTCTCCGGGTTTTTTTTTACTCCGGGTTTTTGCCGTGGGGAGGGGGGGGGCTCACCATCAGACTAGCTAAAAGGCCAGACCGATTCACTTGAACCTTTCCGGCCCCCAAAATAAGATCCAAAGCCCCGTCGCTCTACGCCCGTTGCGCCGCACGATGCATGACCCAGTCGGCATCGGCACATGCATTGCTAGATGACTAGGTCCTACGTGATCGCGATGCCAAGTGCTAGTGGGTAGACGTTCTTACGGTTCAGCAGACTCTGGTAGCCGCCTAGTAGACCTTCTTCTTCTCGTCGATGCTGAATTGGCCAGGGCCGCTGTTCACAAGCAGGAGAAGCCCGCCGACGATAGACAAGATCTGGAAGAAGTCATACTTGGCAAAGTCCTTGTGCGGGTGGTGCTCGTGAAGCTAGAATAGGAGCAAATAGGTTAACCGATCCACGACCCGAGAGCCCGTCCCGGCACTGGGCGCAAGAACTTACCGTCCAGAAGTTGTTCACCAAGATGTTGAAGATGCTCAGAATGACGACTAAGAGAGTGGCGCTGAACTTAGCCTTGAAGCCGACCACTACCATGATGCAAGCAATCAGGCCGATGACGGACACGCCGATCCTCCAGACGGACCACTCTCCACTGAAGACAAACCCGATGAACAGGAATATCAACAGCACGCGGCCGGCCAGCTGGAAGTACATTTTCCGGTCCTTCTCGTCGAGTTGGGGTAGGCCGGCGAAGGCCTTGGTCTTCCGAACCCACGAGTCGGAAAGGACCATGATAAGGCCACCGATGACGGAGAGGTTTCGGAGGAAGAAGTTGAGGTCGAAAATCAGGCCATACCCTAAGGCCTGGGTGACGACTACTGCCATGAGACCGGCAACGGCGTGGTCGGAATATTTCCGAGCGATGACCAGGATGGAGCAGGCGCTCATGGTCACGACATTGGTGATGAGGAACAAGTGCGTCAGGCCGTTGGGAACTACACGGGTAAGGTTGGTTAGCTGGATAGAATGGGGCTTCGTCCGTGACAGCGCTTCGAGGGCGCCGGAACATACTGTGCCTGTAGGAATTCAGGTAGACGAGCTGGTCAGTCCATTGCGTTATGATCCTCAGGGCGTCCTCGAGGAATGTGACCACTATCAGAAAACGGCCAATGGCTGGTAGGTATCTACGGTAGAACCGCGCGTTAGCTTCGTCGCCGGCAGACTCAATCTCAAGCTAATAAGTCAATATGGATAGGCATGCGCGGGTACGCAGATATTTCTGTGAGCGGAGGGTAGAGGGGCCGCACGTAGCAGACGGCAGGGTACAGGCGGGGCAAGACGTGGTAACACGTACGGCTTGATGGGCTCGCTGATAGTGTCGAGAACATCCTCAATCTTACTGGTCTGCTCCCGGATGGCGTCCAGGGGACTCGGGTCAGGCGCTTCGGTTTTCGGGCCGCCGAAGGGGTTGGGGCCGCCGAGATGGTAGCCGGCTGTGCCTCGGATCTGGGCCATAGTGTCGGATGTTCGGCGGTAGATGTTGCGCAGGCCAGCTGTTTTTGGCGCGGAGGACGCGGGAGAGGACAGAGACAGGGAGAGGTTCGGCCAGGCTTCGAGGGGCGCGCGCGGGGAGGGGGAGCGGAAGAGAGAGATAGAGGCGCAGGGAGAGCAAGTTCTGCAGAGTCTGGGGGAAAAAAGGTGCCTAGCGGCTGGGATTGAAAATTATCGAGACGGGGAAACGGGCCCAGGATGGAGGAGTGGTGAAGGGGGGAGTAGGTGGCAGCGGTAGTGGAATGAGTAGGAGGAGACAGAGGGTGAGCAGCAGCGGAAGTAGGCGGTAATATATGTAGGGGACGAAGGTGAGAGGGCGAGACGAGGCGCGTCGGGTACAGATGCGTGCGAGAGCAGGTAGGCCGGCTGTCTAACGACGACGACGACGACGACGACGGAGACGGAGATAGCAAGAAGAAGGCTGCGGGATGTGGGCGGTGGATAAGTTCCAATTACCTTTCGGCTTGCTGGCGGTTGCAGGCCGTGACAGTGAGCTTATAATGTGTGCTAGACAAACCGTGTCCTCAATTGAACAATGATGCAAAGCCGCCAAAACATCCGCCCAGGTTCCGACATGCCAGATTGGGGCACGCCGCCTCCGAGTGTGGGACGCTGCAATCCAGCTAAAAAAGCCCCAGGGGGCGTGGCCCAGACGCATGGGCCAGCTAGGGAGGGGGAATCCGAGGTAAAAATAAAAAAAAAGTGACGTCCCAGACTGCTTGACCCCCGGGGGCATCCCGCTATGGTAGGTACCTAGGTAGGTAGGTACAGATAGGCTAAATAATAGAGACTACCAAGTAGCGCTGTCAGGAATCGAACCTGTCCTCTATTATCAAACCCACGGAGCTGGTACCTGTAGTAGACGGTAGGTACTCGGGTACGTGGCCCACGCCTATGGCAGCTGGCATCGCCGAGGTATCCCCGCTGCCCCGTATACATAGGCAGACACAAGCCTCGCCCAGGCCACACACTAGAGGTGCCCTCCACGAGTGACTTACATTAGGTACCTGATATATATATATATATACAATCCCCGTAACCTCCGAGGGGACAACTCCAGCACAACACTAAAATCCGGTTCCCTTCTCAGCGCTAACTGCTCCTGTCGTCAAAGGTACGAGGGCCAGCACTCATCCGTAGTATTAGCTGCCTACAGCGCAGCACAATATATTAGAGGGAAACGCCTCTAGTCGAGTGGGTGCTGTTTCTTGGTGCAGTATTCCTGCGAGCCTACCCGACCACTCGTTTTGGCTTCTCCCCCTCACCAGCCCTGGGTGATGGCGGAGATAAGCCACTTCTTTGGGGCGAAACGGTGCCCGCGGTACGAGCACAACCTGGGTCTCACGTCTTCTCCTCGGCCTTCCTCCTTCTTCTACCAGCCTCTGCTGAGGGTCGCTCCGACGTAACCGCGAACGGATCTTGGCCGACCACGCCTACACGCCCCCTGGATACCGACGAGCCTCGGGGGCCCCCTCGTTAGGCCCCAACCTGTAGGCTGGGTATCGGATGTTCAAAAAGGGAGTACTGCGAAGGCCGCGAAACCTGCATGGCCCGTGTCAGCACCGCCCAGAAGCTACAAGTCAAGGTTGCGGAAGGTGGAACGAACCGATTATACGTTACGGCCACCGTCCAAACGACGGGAGGTTGCCGTCCCCGTGCTAGTAGCTGTTAGATCTAGAAGTGCCGTGGGTCCAAACATGGAACAGATAAATGGCGGTGCTAGGTAGTTACGCTGCGTGTTGAAAATTTCGATCTAGTCGCCCGAAATCTCAGGTCGGGACATCCCTCTGGCGTGACTGATGCCTAGCTAAGGCGTCGTAGTATTCATAAAGATGAGTCGACCGCCCGCCTCACGGTATGACCAGCGACTCTATAGACGCCTTCGCAATGGCGATGACCCTCTGGCATGTCGGCGTTTCGCCCTTGGCATGCATCTTGAAGCCGCAACTCGGCTCCGGCCAAGCGCCAGACTCTATCAGAGCGTCTACAACCGCGTGCCGCGCCTTCGACTTTTGCTCCATCTGGAGCACGATGTCCTTAAGGCCGATATACAGAGGTGAACCGTCGGCCACCTCTGTCTTCGTGCCTGACAGCCCGTAGATGTCGGCTCTCAAGAGCGCCCTGGTCGTGAGTCGCCACATGGCGGGCTCCATCTCGCGGTGGTTAAGAAGGCTGGTGGAGGTGCAGCCGCAGCGGCGCCCTACTACTTCGTCCCCGAACAGGACGCCACCAAAACCAGCTAGGTTGAAAACAAGCCGGCGACGCTCCGCTACCGCTTTCTTGACCTCCTGGTCGACGGTCTCTAGGATGCGCTGGTAAGCGTGCACGATGCTAGGAATCAGTGCGGCCAGCAACATGAGGTTTTGGAAGTTGCGCATGATCCCTTCGGAGCCTGCCGAGTGGGGGGGCTCGATCTTGAACGAGCACACCGGGCAGTAGACGACATCGTACGCCGTCTTGGTCGCCTTTCGCGCGTGTCGGATGCCTTCCTCCACGCCCTCGGGGAGCCTCTGCATCGAGTCCAGGGATAGGTACAGGGCTGCGGTGTGCGCGCAGCCCGGCGACGGCGGCGGCAGAGCGCTCGAGCTATCGATGCTCTCGGGCGTGGTGGCGGAGTTCGGCGACAGGTTAGGCACCTGCTCCGCACCCGGGGGCTCGGAAATGAACAAAGACGGGTCGATATTCGACGGGGAGAAGGAGGGTGTATGCTGGGGAACCGTGTCGAAGCCCACGTCCCCGAGGCTGTTCCCCGCGTAGCCGAAGGCCCAGGAGAAAGGCTTTTCTTGGCTGGTTTGCGGGTAAGACTGAGCATCCTCCGTAGCCATATGGCCAAGGAAGGAGAAGTCGAGCTCCGGCGTATCGGCCGCGACGTCGGTCATCGTGTTTCTCACCGCGGGAGCACCGGCAGCGCTTTCGCCGTTCGGCTCGTCCAGGGGTCGCTTCCTCGGCCGGCCCATGGGCTTCTGCGGGGAATAGTGGCAGTCGATGCCCTCGCGCAAGCAGCGGGAGCAGCCGTCTGGCTCCTTGGTGCAAGCGAGTTTACGCGTGCCTGTGGCGATGGTCAGTCTGCGTTTGAACGCGGGACGGAGGGGGGCGGTGGCTAGGCATACGGCATTCGTCGCAAGCGCGGTGCTTCGGGCGAGACGTGGCAGCCGGACAGATGGCGGTAGTGCCGGTAGCCATCGCCGTTGACATGTTCGACTCGGACTCGAGACGCCGACTCAGCTTTCTAGGCTGGGTTTCTGCGAAACAACTCGCCACCGAATGCAGCGACGGGGAGAGGGCAGGTTTGTCTCGGCAGGCGATGCATCGATGGGGGAGGCATCAATAGAGGGCGGCAATTTGACCTAGCCTAGGCCGTCCACTCTCCACGGCTACCTATGAGAGAAGGACCTTGAGGACTTGGGGCGAGAGGGGGGCGGAGCGTTGAGGAGGTAGGGAGGTGGTTGATTTTTTGAGTGCCTATGCATTGGACGAAATGATTCGTATATTGTATGGATGAGTGAGTATGTCGAGCCTGGCCACTCGTACTTTCCACGCCAATGCGCCTGCGCCACCTACCTGGGTCTACACGTAGGTACTTCCTGCGCGCAGGATTCCCGTTAGGTAAGCACGCCTGGACGTGCTGCCGCTCACGCCCCCGGCGACGACAACAGGAGAAGGTGGCAGGATCCGGGAAAGTAGGTCGCCGAGATCAAACCGTCAAACCGGGCGATGGATTTGAGCTTCTAGGCTCTTCTAAGAAGCAGGCCCCGTTTCGTACTCCTTGGCCGCTTTTTATAGAGCGCCCCCCAAACGACGGAGCCAGAGTATACCTAGATATGTAGGTACCTACTACAGGCACGTGGGGACATTCCCGATAGGTAGGTATAACGACCGTGTGTCGATGAAGGGGGCGAGGCGCAGTTCGAGTAGCTAGGTAACCGTATGCCGCACGTCCGTTTCAAGAGAAGCTCGTGAGGCAGGGATTGTAGGTATCTTCGCCTTATTTTCAAGAGGCTCTCTACTCCTTAGACGACAGACCCATTCTAGAGGGAGCAACCACTCTCTATAAGCGAGACTAGAAGGCTGGCAATTGATGTCCTGGGTTTGCGACTGCATTCATATGTTTTTTTTAAAATAAAAATAAAAACCGGCCCAGTATTATATTTACGGCTCAGGGACATATCGCCGTACTTAAAGGGGATATAGGTCTAGGTATCATCTAGGCCGTACCCACATCTCTAGGAGATCTTCACAGGGTACGATGCCTCGTGCAGGCCGTTCATCTGATGTCTTTTATGCCGGGTGAAGAGTATAACTCTAGCTGGCGCCGGCCTTTTCGCAAAAGGAACTCGATAACAGCGAAGTCTTTCCTATCCACCGTGACGTACTTGTTGAACTCCGACCTGGGCTTCCCGGGTTAGCATAAACATGAGCTCGTCAGGCCCGGTAAAGTGATAGGTACGTGCCTAGAAAAAGAGTCGAAACGCGGCCGCGTTGCCTACCATCGCCTAGTCAGTTCCATACAACGCATTCTTTCCCTTTTCTTCCTCTCAGAGAACGGGGTGGGGAGGGCGGCACCGACAGCAGGTTTCTTGCGACTCTGGCGAAGGCAACTTCGGTAGAGTGATAACACTTCTTTTTGCAGGCCCGACAAGCGCATTTCCGGTATCCTTATCAATGCAGCAGACCATCACATAAAACAGTAGGTAGTCGTTAGATGGTGAGGGGGCTGCCTATTACCGATGTTGTGGATAGAATGAATGGAGTAGTCCAAGAACCTCAAGGACGACATTTCGTCGACTTGCCTTCGATACTACACGCTACCTAATTATATGGGGACCCTGCTTGCCCCGTTGGCCTCCGTACCTTTATACCTACCTATACCTACATATCTATATACGTCTATGCCGAAATCGGGGTATTCTATAAACGGATATCATGAACCAACAGGAGACGACTCATCTCTACCCGCCTACGGATTCAGATCACCACTTTCTCAGACGTAGCTAGGAGGTAGTCTCGAGGAATCCGGGTGGTGGTAGGTATAGGTACTAGGTACTAGGTATCTAAGTACGTGAACATGAGGTGCGTATAAACAAATCTAAAAAAAAGAAACGGATAAAATATGAAATAAAAAGTATGTAGGTACGGCTGGGTTGGCTCACATCCAACCTTCGCTTCCCAGGCCGCCTCACGAAGCATTTCCTGACTTGCACATAGGTATAGGAAGCGCGTGTAGTACCGCCACTTTCCCTTGGGGTAGGTAGGTCTAGGGAGAGTTTGAAGAGATCTGGGTAGCCCAAAGCGACTCGTCTAGCTTTGTCCGTACGAGGCCCAACAACTCCATATTGCGGCGACGCGTACCTATTAAAAACAGACCCATCGAACACGCGTGAGGTTGCATTTCCCTCCTCGGTCGTCGCTGTGCGGGCCCATACGGGCTTGGGCCGGAGGGCCGCGTGGAAATCAACTGCAACCTCAGCCGAAAAAATATAACCAGAGGAAGAAGTAGTCAATTCACCTTCCGCGGCCGCGGCCGCTGAATCCAAGTAGCGTCCTCAGCCCCTGAACGACGACCCAACCGGCGACGGCGATTGTCACCATGATGCGCAACTCGCGGGCCACGTTCGTCACCGACGAGTCCAGACGTATTATGTGTAAATGTTCGACAGCGCCCCCATGTTGCGCAGCGAGAGAAAAAGATTCCATCTCGTACCTTTCCCCCTCTCTCCCTTTTAACCCAGCCTCACGCTATGCGAACGAACAGCGAAGCTTTTTTCTTTTCTTTTTTTTGAACCCCCGCAAAAGCTGGTTATGAGCGTGCAATTTTTGTGCTTAGGGTATGAGAGCGGCCTAGGGGGCAAGAAGCTGAGACAAATTTTGATCTTGCTTTGCTTGTAGGTAATGATTTGCCTCGCGTGACGGGTAGAAGGGGTAGATAATACAGGTAGTTTCGATTCCGCATAGGCGCTGCTAAGTAAGTGTTGGATAGGTAATAAAAAAAGGTTACTTACCTACAGTTGAGTAAATTCTTTCGGCTTCAACGCTACCCTTTGAGTTGGAGGTGGATCCCGATGCAATTAAACGGCCCGGACTTGACGCTAACATCGTGTTCCATGGAAGTTGACGAGCTACGGGTTGTCTTCCTATAAGAAAACACCCTCCTGTGAGAATAGGTCGATATCCGACTAATCGCAGTGCGCGGCTTTAATATACCTAGGTAGATATCTCTAGCATCCGATGATAGTGTATAGCTCTACTCGAGTTAGCCTAGGTAGTTAACTAAGTAGCCACGGACGATGCCTGCGAGAAAACATTCGAAGAATAGAGGTATATCTCGATGGGCATAGCTTCCCACTTCCTAGATGTGTATGCCTATATACCTATATCGATGCATATATATAACCCGACTTTTAGAAGATGGCCCCAATCATTACCCAGATGCAAGGGTAGAGGGAGAGAGAGACTATACGTGCCACGCTCGTTATATAGGTAAGTGAGGGGAGGTATCGATGGCGAGAGATAGACGCTTCGCTCTACGCGACAGCGAAGATGGGAGCCATGGTAGAAACATTACTAGAGAATCGAGACGTCGCAGCAGAAACCGACCATATTATGCAGATAACCAACCCCAAGTAGGGAACGCCGACGCTTATTATTCACCCGCTCCGCATTAAACTTTGTGCACGACATCATGAGACTCGATAGCAGTCTCCTGCTCGACTTTCTCGAGGTTGACGTGGGCGACGGCCGCGTCGTCGCCATCGATGACCTTGGCGAGCTCCTCAAGCGTAGGGCCCTTCGTCTCGACGTACATGAAATAGACGAAGGCCAGCTCGCAGAAGATCCAGCAGGTGTAGATGAGATAGAGCTTCCAGGAGTGCTTCTCGCCGAAGGCCTCGAACGCAACCGGATTAGCGTATGAGTTGAGGCACAACGCCGCCTGGACCATGATGTTGAGGATCATGAGACCCTTGGCACGCAACTTATACGGCAGGATCTCGATGGCATAGCCTACCAGTAAGCCTGACCATGCCATCGAGTAGAAAAAACCGAATAGCCAGATGAAGAAGATCATGGCGTGGTTGGCGCCCGGGGCGTTGTGTTCCCCGTACAAACCCGCACACAAGGTCCAGAAGATGAAGACGCCGAACATGCCTGCGGTCGAGGCCAAGAACATCGGTCGGCGGCCCCATCGGTCGACAAGCATAGCCATGGTGACCGAAACTATGAGGGATAGGATGGTTTGACCTCCCGAGAGCTAACGACGCATCGAGTTAGATGAACCCTTCTTTCTTCGGAGCGAGAGAACTGCAGAACTTACGCCGAACTTGGAGTTAGAATCAGTAACCCCGGCCTGGTCGTACAGCTTGCTGGCAAAGTTGGAGATGATGGCATTGCCAGACCACTGGGAAAAGAGGCCGAGAGACAGGAGGATGAGTAATCGGTAGCGGTTGCCCTTGGTCTTGAGGAAGTCGAGATAGGTGCTGTTCGCCTTGCTCTCCATTTCGAGCCTGATCGTCTCCTTGATCTCGCGGTACTCGAATTGGACCGTCGGGTGCTGCGTGTTGCCGTTGGCGTGGTACCTGGCGAGTATCTCGAGAGCCTGGTCTTGCTTGTCTTTGGCTATGAGGTATCGGGGAGACTCAGGGACCCACCAGATGAAGAGTATCTGGAAGACCGAGGGAAGGGCCTGGATGATGGCCGGAATACGCCAGGACCAGTCGTTCTGGATATAGTTGGTGCCGAACGAGAGCCATGTAACAACTATATCAATAGAGATTAGCATTCATTCGTCCCTCTCTCCTTCTCATCCCAGCCACGCCATCGATCCCGGGGCGTCGACGTACTGATAGCGCCTGCGTTCCACAAGCAATTGTAAACGGCCGTTAGACGACCGCGGTGCTGGGGATGAGCGATCTCAGTCAGCAACATGGGGGAGGCGATCTGGGCCAAGCTGTTGCCAAACCCCAGCATGACACGGCCGCCCATGAACGCGCCCATGTTCTGAGAGGTTCCCTGGATGATGGCACCGACAATCATTATGGCACAGCCAACTATGATGGGGAGCTTGCGGCCAAAGTTATCTGCGAGGATAGGACTAGGATGGGGCGTTAGCGAACAGCACACCGGGGTCCTTCTCTTCGAACGGGGAGGGCAATCACCCATACTCACACCAGGGGAATCGAGCCCAAGCTACCGATCTGGTATAGGGCTGCGAGGAGACCGAGATCCGATCCCTGGGGATTGTTGAAGTAGGACTTCCACGTTTCGAACACCTGGACCGAGTTGAAGAACATGCTATCATACGGTGCGAGTTAGCCCATCTTCCCACATGCCTAGCAGTGGTACCTGTGTCGTACCCATCGTAACCTGTCGTGGCGGAAGCGAAGCAGAGCACAAATGCATAGAAGTAGAGTTTCCTCAACCCAGGATCTCTCTTCCAGTCAACCTTCTCGAAGGCCGGCGCGTCCTCCTGGGAGTGCGCGACTGCCTCCTCTCGGGGCGCCTTCTTCGTGAAGCCGATCACCATCGTGGCGGCTGGTCGATACCGCGGGTCGCTGAACTGACGGACGACTAGGTGTGTTTATGTTCGGAGATGCGAGCGCTAGGGATGCCTTATGATGACCTTGTCCCGCCGGCTTGCTTGCAAGGCTATTTTATCTATGGCTAGGGGAGGGGGGAGGGGAAGAGACGCGAGAATCGTCGGCAGAAACGAGTATGAGTAGACAGCAGCAGGTGGGAGTTGCACAGCTCGAAGGGACGTGAGCCCAGATATACCAAGAGAAAGGCCAGGGGCCCTCTCGCACAGGGCGGTCTTACAAGGATACAGGTGCGGGCGAGCGGTCCGGTCGAGAGGTCGACCTACACCCCCGACTTACACCAAGAGCGACTAGTCCGCAGGACATCCCACCGAGGAGGAGCGATATCTCGAACGAGCTCGACCTCCCTCATGGTAAGAGACGGCTCACGTGGGTGTGTGTGTGTGGGTTGCGGATCTGCCTTAGCTACCCCATTGCCCCGTTGCTCCATCCCTAACCCCCGTGGTGCCATGGGGAAAGACAGCCAACGCGAGGTAGGTCAAGGGGAGGGAGGAGATGGAGGGGGAAGGGTACCGGGGGGAGCGGGGACGGGTTCCAGTTGGCATTGGAGACTCCTGGGATCCGGAAGAGAAAAAAAAAAGCGATGACATTTCGGATAATGAACCAAATTCTGGATGGCGCCGAGGAAGAGCATTCAAGGGCAAGGTCGAGTTCCTATATGCAACGCCACTCACATAATCGAGGCATCGCCGTATCGGGGACTCGGCCTGCTTGGAACGTAAGCTGAAAAAACAGCCGGGTACCTAGGTACCTATCCCGTGCGTCTATATACCTGTATCTCTGCCATTAGGTACCTAACATACCTACCTACCTAGGTAGGTACCTCAGGTATCTCGATGCATGCGAGATACAGCTGTGTACACCTCGCTTATGTACCCACCTGCCTTGAGTACCTTGGATACCTAGGTGACTTAGGGACATAACGTACACGGGCTTGTCAATTGGTGGTATATCTACTATGGTAGATACTTAGTTGGGTACCTACCCATGTGCTTCTTAAGTTCCGGCATCTCGCTGTCGCCCGTCGAGGTGAGAGGGCGGCAGTAGATGGGAGGAGGAAGATGAGATGGCCAAGGTACCTACGTAAGGGTGGATAGCAGCGGGGATCCTCCACCGTGGCCGGGGTTCGTCAGGTAGGTGATTCTACTTCCCTCGCGATCGACCTCACCAGAATATCTACTTGTGTGCATTGCGAACTGGTGGGATCGGCTTGGGAGAGGAGGGACGGGGGCCGGCGGCGAAATAAATCATGGGTGGGTGTTTGGTGGACCATCTTCCCCAGGTGTACCGGAAGCATTCCAGAAAGCATCAGTTACCCTGCTCGCCTATGGGTAATAAGCCCACTCGCTATCGGCGCGACAGCAGCAGATGCCGTGTGATGATGGTGGTGGTGACGGTGATCAACCCGTCCTCTGGTTCGGTGTTGCTGGCTCCTGTGTGTGCTTATGGACTTGCGGGGAAATACGCCCAGTAACACCGACGTGCTGGATCTGGAATGCCACCACGGGAGACCAGACGAAGAAGGGTTGCGCTGCTTGGACGCCGTGTAAGTTACCGCATCCAAGCGCCCCCCATTCCTCTCATTGGTGGCGTATATTTGTCGTGGCCGGGGTGGACGAGTACTCATAGAGGCCGCACGTTGATTTCCACGTCCCCCCGACGGCGCCACCTCTCACTCTCATCCCCCGCCGCGGCGCCGCGTCTTGTTTCAAGATACCCACCCATGCTCCCTCCCAAATTGCTCCCGCTGCTGCCAATTCATCAGCAGCTTGCCCGTGCGTGTCTCCCCTTCTTTTTCTGTAATCCCTCGCACGAATGTCCCGTCGCCTAGAATAGACGGTTCCACCGTGTCGGGGACGGCCTGGGACATGCTACCTTGATTTCTGTATTGGGGCAGAAGCAATGCCATATCGCCTCATGCCCGTCAGAATCGTCCTTCGGCACGGGATAGGGTGGCACAAATAGAGCTCGACGTCGTCCACCGGCCCCCCCTCACCCCCACTTCCTACCCATACCGCAGGAGCAGTACATACTCAGAAGAGCCTCGACGGGACGCCGACGGGGCGGTCGAGATTCACCGAGACCACGACACCACACGAAAACAGCCGCTCACGCCCGCACAGAGACTCGCGCATACATACACCAAATTTGTACCCCTTTTGGCCCCAAGGAGGAATCTAGGCGCGTAGGCAGGTAGGCGGGCACGTAGGTAGGTAGGTACTAGGTAGGCTGGTAAGCATGATTAATTGTCTATCCCCGTGGCCATGGCAAGACAAGGTGTTATACAGCACAGCGATGAGAGGAACAGGCCCGCTGGCCCTAGAGGCCATTTCTTATCCCCAACTTCATGTGAACGTATTGGTCCGGCGCGGCTAACGAATTCCGGCCATTGAGGCGGCCGATGACCAGAAATTCTGCGCCGTCAGGTGAATCTGCTTTTCACGGGCAAGTATATCGCGTGTTCGCCAAAACGGGTTCGTATGGTTGGGCGGGTGTTATATTGGACCCGAGGCATTCTACAGCGGTCGCGGCGGGTTAAATTAACCGGTCTTGGCAATGCTCTGCTTCCCTTCGCCTCCTTGTTCTGCTCCGTGGTCCTGGACGCCTGCGACACGCTCGATGAGGGGGTTGAGCTCGCTTGTCCGCATCACGAGGCGACTTACGTACTCGCCCCAACCACATCGAGGCCGTCTCGCCGTGCGCTGCGTCGTGTAAGGCGACGGGTATGGGGCCGATACATTGGCGTACGCGCGCCCGCGCATTTCATAGACCGACCAACTATTTGAGCTATGCATGTACTTCAGAAGCGACGAAGGAATTCAAACACTGAAAACGACCGGGTTCAGCAGCAGGGGGTTTGCTCGATCGGTAAAATCCGCTTACGGCGTGGTCAGGCGCATAGCTCTTTCACCAACAACGAGGAATGCTTCGCTTCGGAGCGCCGTCCCGTAATGCCGGGCGATTGCGAGATATACGACGTAGTATAAAGAGAGAGAGAGAGAGAGAGAGAGAGAGAGAGAAAGAGAGAGAGAGAGAGAAAGCAGGACAGACAGGCAGACGAGCGAATGGACAGACAGACCTAGGACGCAGAGAAGGAAAAAGAGGAGACGAGACTGGACAACGTCTCACCTCACGAGCGACTAAATTAGCAGACCGTTTCCGACGGGGTTCACGGCCTTGGTCACGTTCATGTCATCATCGCCGGCGACTTTCAGCCCGGCACATGCCCACAGCAAAAAGGCGGTCTTGGGCGCGCCTCAGGCACGCCGGGTTTGCTGGTCCAAGTGATGCATGTAGTTGCGCGATGCCGCTCGCCGCCGGGCTGTCTAGCCACAGTTAGCCATAGCGCGAGGCCGTAGACACCAACCGAGGACAAGCACAGGCATGTCACGATACTATTCACGATACTATCAGAGGGGATGGTGCTACGTGTTGCTGGTCTGTTACCTAGCTAGCTAACTACCTAGGCTGCTAGGTGGTGGGATTTGAGATCAAGGCTTGTTGATCTTCCCATTTAGCCTAAATGCGGCAAAAATATCCCCTGGTTAGTAATTTGCCGGGGACCGCCATGCGTGATGCATAGGGTCCAGGGAGCGTGGCTGGTACATGGCCTTCTGTTTTGGAAAATGTACCTTGGGTGTATATAGTAGGTACACATCCATCAGGGACACATGGGGTCCATCGGATAGACACGCGCAGGCTCGGTACCCACGGACGTACCGCGCACGGCTGGATACATGGCGGGTACCTAAAAGATTTACCTAATACAGCGTAGAACATGTACAGACATATATACCTACCTACCTAGGTAGGTACGCGCCTGACAACGGAGGCTAGGCGTCTCCACACTCCGGCGGAAGCTTCCGAGGGAATATACGCCCTTGCGTTAGATGTTTAGGTACCTAGGTAAGTACATACCGCCTATGTAATATACACGTAACCTTGCGGCACCTGAGGAATCAGGCATCAGGAAAGGAGCCCTGTGATTGGTGGAATTGAAGAAAAACACGCAACAGCTAACTGTTCGTAAAACGCTGTATTTAAGCCCTTTTAGCAGTTTAGTTTTTACACCTTCAATTGATCAACTAGGTTTACCTTTCAACTCGTCTTGCGTGCCTTACCATTAAGGCAGCGAGGCCACGAAAGGAACCGCCACCAAAACGCACAACCTCATCTGAGCCTCGTCCAAGAGAAATCCCCACCCACGCCCACAAAGGTCAAAGGTCTACGTACAAGTATTGAGACCTGCTTTTCGCACAAGGCAGAGGAGCTGCGGGGATTCACGAAAGTTCCTCGAAAGGCCTCACCCTAGAACGGATCCATATTCGTCTGTTCGACGAAATCGATTATTAACCGATCACACACCTATCTGTGTCAGCAATTCCGTGTAGCGCGTTAGCTAAATCCGTGATATGATGGCGGTATGTAGGTAGATTAAGTACGCAGGTAATGTAGGTAGAATGGTGGAGCTTGGAGATCTCGCAGATCGTGCGTCAACCTGCCGGCTTCGCCCGAGCCACAGGCCGATATTGTCGAAACCCAAAAGTACCTACCTACCGCCTGAGGGAAAACCGTAGGTAGAACATGCCTTGTCAGCCACCTACCTCGACGGACATCCGCCCTAGAATACCTTCTCAGCGCACCTCGACTCCGTTAATCCTTTCAGGACAGAGCTAAGGAATTCTCGGTGCTGCTCATACAGATGTCTCTGCGCCGAGACGTCCCAAGGAGAGGGGGGGAGGGGGACAACTACTCACAACACCACCATGATGACGCCGACAATGACCATCACCACCTGATCTACAGGTCCGCCGATATACTTATCTATATGCGCCCACGCAGACCGTGGGAAGAGCCCTGGGTGCGGACCAGGAAAAAGCCGGCGTTGCCGGGAATCACATCTTGACTCGGTCGACCACTTGTGGAAGTTCCCGCATGAATAGGGGCAATAGGGCCCCGAAAGTGATGGCCCGCGGCGCTCGCCGGGAATAGTCGAAGAGACTTCCGGTGGGCGACGGGCCGATCTGGCACGACGACCTGGGTGAGGTTCGGGCCAGGTCGCAACCTAGCTGGAGGCGAATAGACATACGTTGCGCGTGACAACGGAGACTGGCCTGCGCGAGGCTGTATCGGGCGCCGTGGTTGATTGGCCGCCCTGTGACGGCGTGGTGGGTTTTCCATATCACTTCCGGGGTGGCGCCGTCGTGGTGTGCCGTTGTCTGCATCGCTTATGCGGTGGACATCTCGGTTATCGCCTCCATCGCATTCAGCCTGGCACGCGATAAACACCGGCCTAACCCGCCCCCTCAAGATGTGAGGTTGTTAGCAGTCAAGGGAATTGCTTCCAAGTTAAACGTCACTCTCGCGGCATAGGCAGGCCGAAAGAGAACCCCCCTGAACATCAAAACGACCGAGTAATGACACCGAACAGTGGTATTTTCTTACCCCACCATCGCCTCTAAATTATCTTCTATTTCGTCGAACGCCAGTGTTAATGCATGACACGCCTAGAGAGAGAGAGAGAGAGCCAGTTGATACATGCAATCCCTTCTGGCTGGTTCCAGAACGCCGAGTTTCCCCTAATTTGATCGGCCTTATGCCATACAAATCCCCCTTCCGAGAGAAACGGGGAGGAACGGACCGCGCTCCCCTCACCGTGCGTCTCCCCTCCCCTCCTCCTTACACCTGAAAGCCGAACCCGGCCATGCAGCTCTTGTACTGCTGGACAGTCGTCTTGCAATCGCTTGCAGGATCCGATGCCTTGGAAAATAACATGCATTCGTCGCGCTTAGATTTTTCATCTTTGCAGACGCAGCAAGGCTACACGGGGAGCGTGAGTTAGCGAGGGTGCTACTGGAAACCGGCAGGCAGAGAGAAGAACGAGATGTCGGGTTCCAATCAAACCTTCGGCTTTGACGCTACGGCCGCGTCGGAATCGCGGCTCGCATCGGAGCTCGAAGAAATCGAGGCTGCGCAGAAGAGATTAGCGACGGGAACAAGTGACCTTGGCTAGCTCTGCTTACGCATTGATAATTTCTGTGACGCCATAGCAGTCCTTTTATTTATGTATTATCTTTTAGATGGTCGCGGACGGCGGATGGTGTTATGGACGTCCTCTTCCCTCGTCGTAAAAGTTGGATGCTAGGTTGAATTGATCGACGATTCGACGGCCGGGCATGACGTGATTTGTAATGCACGGGCGATCCCGGCGCTTACATAAGTACCTAAGAGCATAGCGAGATACTATCTACCAACCACTGGATAGACGCATATCCTTCGTTCCTATTTTTCTATCGATATAGCACCTGAGCAATCAGGCATTAAGAAAGGAGCCCTATAATTAGTAGAATTAAAGAAAACTACGTAAGAGCTAACTATTTACAAAACGCTATATTTAAGTACCTTTAATAGTTTAGTTTTTATACTTTTAATTAATTAACTAGATTTAGCTTTTAATACGTTTTATATACCTTATAATTAATATAGCAAGGCTCCGAGAGTAAACTGTTAAAACGTACATTAATACCCTACTAACTCTCGCTAAAAACATATTCCTAAATCTGGGATGAGGCTACCAGTGTAGATTCTGATGTATCCAATTAGTTAGCAAAGGACTCTTACAATGGTTGCCTATTTATAGTTAAAGGCTCTTGTAACGATTATCTATTCATCTAAAAGGAGGCTTGCTTATTTGCCTAAAAGGAAGCTGTAATTTACTTATAAATCGAGCTTTACAAAAGCTCGTTATTTTATAATTCTAGGACTTAGATCTTCTTTTAGTAGACTAGTAGTTAAGTTTAATTTATAACATTTTATATATTCTTAGATAATTAAGTAATTGTGAAGTAACGTAAGCGAGCTTTATTAAAATGTATAAATAACTAGTTACTTATAAGTATACTGCTATATTATCTTTTTTAGTAAATCTAAAGCTATTTCTAAACTATCACTATATCCTTAAGTTAAGATTTCTTCGTTATCTGATCCTAAGCTATTTATTAACAGATCTTTTATTAATATTTATAATTAGTTTAGGGATATTATTATCGAAGTTCATAGTGGGGGGGGATAGAGCGTACGCGATACTGGAGTCCCGGATAGGCTTACTCGAAAGTATACTCTATCGAAGACTATAGTACGTACGATGATCTAAGGTAAATAACACTAATATTACTATACTAATCGAGAGACGAGGAATCTAATGTAGTTATTATATCTTAGGTCTACCCTTTAATTATAAAGATATAGTAGTCGCTAGCCCGAAGGCATAAGAGGTAAGGGAAGAAAAGGAGTAAAACGTAAAAGTTACTTATTCGGCTATAGCGGTACGACGAAGTAACTTAAGCGCCTATAACTAAAATAAATATACTAATCGGAGAACGACGAATCTAATAATAAAAACGAATCTTTAATTAAGGTAAAAATAATAAAGATAGTAATTTAATTAAGTAATAAGCTAGGTAGTAAGTATAGTATAATTCGTACTTACGGAAGCTATAGTTACTTTATATAGGTATAAGGCCTATCGTAACGTATTACGTAATATATTAAAAGGATATGTCTTACCGTATTATTATAGCCTCTTTAGTTTAATTATATCGTAAGGAATAATTAAATTAAAAAGGATAATACGGTATATCCCGATTAATATCTTCTCTTAAAAACTATTACGAAACTTTATTTCCTCGGTTATTATTTAATTATTAAAAGTAGGTCTTTAGTTTATCGTTTAATATAATAAAGAAGCCTTTTTATTACTTTATAGTTAACTTAGCCCGGTTTATCCTTACCGATCTAACCCGATCGGCGTATTTCTTCTCTACCTCGGCTATCTTTTTCTTAGTCTCGGCTTAGCCTTCTTAGTTAAGGAAATAGCAAGGGAACGGGCGCGTCCCGAGGGTTAATTAGGTATCTTTCCTCTACCTATAGGATATAGAGATCTTCCCGGATTAAAAAGCTTTAATCCTTACTAAGCCGGGGGAAGGAAAAAAACGGATCGTAACCTTAACGAGGTCGTCGTAACATAGGTCGGTATTTACCGATACGAGGAAGTAAAAGGGATTAAGTATTAAGACTACAAAGGAACGGCGGACTTCGGCTTACGCGATAAACCGAATAAAGGATTTACGGCTAAGGAATTCGCCGATCGGCGTATTTTACGCCGAAGCTATAACGTTAATAAGGTTAATTTACTTTTAATAATCTACGGCTTATCGAAAATACTTAACGATACTTACCTCCTCCTTTAAAACTCGAACGCTATAAAATTACTTTACTACCTCGGCGTATTTTTTTTATAATATTAGGAGGATTAAGCCCTTTATTTCTTAGGCTTAGTAAACGACTTCTATCGGTCGTTTAAAGATAAGATACGGTAAAATACCGCTTTAAAAACCGTAATTAAAGCTATCTTATTAATTTATTAACGCGACGTAATAAATAAACTAAGGGGTTATAGTAAGCTCGAGATTACCGTTTTCTTATACTCGCCGTAATTAATTAAACGCGTACGCCGCCCGATTAAAGGCGTCGTTTTTAACTATATTAAAGCTAAATAATATTCAAGGCTTAGGAAGGTATAATATTACGGCGAAATAGGCTTAGGAGAACTTCTCCGGGTCGGTAATAACTCGTTCGGAATTTATTAAATCCGTATAGATCGTAAAAATTAAAATAAAGGCAAGGTTATCGAAAAGGTATTAGCGGGTTAAGAAGTTAAACGATCCTACCGATCGATAGCTTATTATTTAATACGGATTTACTTCGAAGGCCGCCTTTCTACCTTTAAGGTTATAGTTAGTTATGGTATAAAAGGCGCGGATATCTTCGTTAGTAAGGTAGTCGTAACGGGCGAGGTATACGAAAGAGTTAGCTAGGGCTACCTTCGTTTATTCTTATAGCTATTAATTCATAATTCGGGATCGATTAACGAATAGCTAAAGGGCTTAGGCTATATCGGATCCTAATTCGATTAAACTATTCCCCGAATCGTAATTATCTAGAATATTAAGCTAATACTTCTTTATATTACTTTAGTTATCTTTATTATTATAAATCTCCCGTAGGAGTTTTATTAAATCGGCTAGATCGGCGTAACGTACGTCTTTATAAACGGAAGAAAAGGAAAAGGAAGGAGGAATGCCGGCGGAACGGAGGAAAGACATAAAAAATAAAAAAAGAATTAAGGAAAGGAAAAGAAAAGATAATAAATTAAAGGTAAAAATAAGAATTTAAATTAATAATAAAAAAGGTAGGCTAGAGATTAATAAGAATATAATAATTATAGGGGAAGGGGTTTCGAAATAAAATACCTAAAGAGGAAAAAGAGGGGAGGAAGGGAGACGTATCGACGATATAGTTAGATATACCTTTACGGCTTACGCTTTAGGAAAGCGCGTTCTCCCGTATACGTATAAAGCTATAATAGGAGATACGTTAGTTTATAACTTCTTATTATATACTCTTAATAAAGTAATAAATACGTACGTTTATAGATACGTAATTAAACGTAGGCTAAGGTAAGTACTATCGAGACTCTCCTAAGTACGGTACTTACGACCTAGGTAACGTATTCGATTCTTTCGTTTTCGTTCGACCTTTCCTTTCATTTCTCGCTATTTTACGGTTCCGATTTATTTCCTTTCTTCTTCTCCTTAGGTTCTTTATCTTCGTTTTAATTCGTTTTTCGATTTTTCTTAATTCTAGATTCATAATTTCGTCGTCCCTATCTCTCTTTCTCTTATATATATATATATAATAAACCCTATCCTCTAAAAGTAACTCCTTAAACTAAACCGGGCGTCCGTCCTTAAGCTATTCGAATAGCTTAAAGCTACGGGAATTACCGACGAAGAGATCGCCGGGGCCTTTAGGAAGGCTAAGGAGGATAAGAAGAAGGCCGTAACGCATTAACGGGCTAAGTCGATACCGCCGCCGGTAAATTTAATAAATAAGTAGCCTAACGAATTCTTCCGTTACTTATCTTCTACCGAGGAATTCCGGGACGTTAATTAATTAATTCCTAAGCCTTAGTAAGTATCGTATATTCCGTATTCCCGCCCGTTAAACTAAAGCCCGAAAATAATTATTAGCCGGTAGTTCCGAGGTATCGAAGGAATTTAGGTAATAAACTAATAACGCTAAGTATATAGCTTTTAATATTAATAAGATCTATTAATCGAAAGCTAGATTAATAATAAAAATAATTCGTAACGTTCGGTTTTATTTTCTAGGTAGGCCGGCGGCCGATTAATATATTACGTAAGAGATCTTAAGTAAGGATTTTTAGGAGGTTACCTACCTCTAGAGCTATATTATATCCTTCGTTCGTTACGTCTAATCCTCTCGCCGTCGGACGTTATTTATAAAGATTAATAATAAGGGCCCGGTCGGCGATATTTTCGTCGATTAATAATAAACCCTCGTTACGTCGTTAGTTTATTCGTTTAATAATATAAGGTACCTAACGAAGTACCTTATTAATACTATAAGCGCCGGCTCGCTTCTTCCGATACCGTTAAGTACGCGGGTATATAGCCTTTTCCTACCGATCCCTAGCTCCCGATCATATCTTTAGGTACTCCTACGGTATCTACCTCTTCTTTATTAATAAGGTACGTTATAAATTTCGAAACGAACGGTTTACCTACCTACGGACGCGGATAAATCGTAACCTCCCTTTAATAAAGGATCTAAGCTAGGCCGTATACCTACTTATAATATAGGTAACGGAAAAAGGGTTACTAGCTATAATAAACTCGAAAATCGCTACGTTCCGGGGGTCGGGAAATAAATAAGTTTTTTAGTTTTCTTAGTAACTAATAAGTAAAGGATAAAGTAAGGAAATTAGATAAAGTAAGGAAATTAAGAGGAAAAAAGAGGTATTAATCGGCGGGTATATATTACTTCTAGCTTATTTTTAAACGCGTATTCCTTTCCTTTTCCTTTTTCTTTTACTTTTACTAATTGTCACGTAGCAGTTGAACCAGCCTATATAAGCCTACATACCGCAAAGCGTGAATGTAGGCGTCTACGTTTTACGTAATACT